ATTGTGTACTTCAAACTTTGAGGTTAATAAGTATTAACCTTGTTTTGACTGAAGTTTTCGAAAACACTAGTATTGAAGCCTAATCTTCATAGTTTAAACTTTGAGACTACTATGCACATCTGTGTTCTAGTAGTTAAAATGTAGATTGCCGGCCAAAATCATGGGTCAAGAGCTATCGAGTACTGATTGCGCTTTACTTTAATAACTCCTTTATAACTATACATTAAGAAGAACATTTTTTAACTTCCACCGTTACTGAGGCATGCAAGATTTAAAATTGCAGGAATAAAACTCTGCAGGGAACGTTTTATCGAGAGCTGCACCTTATTGGTCCTGCAATACCAGTTTCTTAGGACATTTTTTTATATTTGCACCTCTGAAGGGGTCTTTGAAGACCAATAAGTCAGGTTTATCGCAAGATGTGGGCGACATTAATGACAGGTATCGTAAATTATTCAATAAACTTAGACCTACTTTGAGATTAAGATCGGGGATGTCTGGTGGCACTTGATGTACACCTCTCTACACGTAAGCGATTACGTGTCACCCTGTGTTATCACAGTATGAGTTATGCAAAAGAATTCTCATCATCGTAAGGAAAACCAATGACGACCATCTAAACCCAAATAAGTGACAAAGTTACTGAACTCGTTGTCATCTGCATTGTTGAGTAATATCGCACATTCGAGAAGAATGAAATTTTCCGGGATGTTCAATGCATGGGATAAATCTGTTCTGTCAGCCATCCTTATTAGTAAACCTATTGATTTGTCCGTTACGATTGACAATTTCAGGGAATATTTCTTGAATTTACAACGGAACTCCTGGGTCAAAATTATAAGAAATGTACCACGGACAGTATAATTTGGAAATAATTTGTATCTGGATCTAGAGTGTAAGAGAACGGAACTAAATTCCTACATGTAATTTAGTGTTAACTACTGAGTTGAAAACGTCAATTGGCCACCATAAAGAGTAAAAAAGCTGACGTTTCGAGCGTTAGCCCTTCGTCAGAGAGATTGGAATCAATCGTTCTGACGAAGGGCTAACGTCAATTGCTCTGACGAAACCCTTCGTCAATCGCTCTGACGTCAATTGCTCTTTACGGTGGCCAATTTACGTTTGAAACTCAGCTGTTAATACTAAATTACGTGCTATACTCTCCCACCGACGCAGCACCACAGTTTCTATAGAAACTTAGTCCCTAAATTCCTACATGTCTAACACGCTTAAGCATTGCCACCCTTATAACGGAAAATTTCCACTCAGTTCAAACTGTCAAACGCATAGTTTCACTCGGAGACACGAGGTCACTTTGATCTCTCTAAAACCTTTCAACAACAGAAGTTGGAAGTGAGTATCGGTGGATATTGAGAGGACTGAAGACAGCAAGAATGCCTATCCACTTAGGGTAGTAAAACCAAAACAGAAATAAGATGTAACTCACGAAAGCATGAAGGCCCTGAAATCAAAGCTAGCAATAGCTTTTGTCTGCTTCAACGTTGATTACTTAAGAGCCAAACTGATGAAATTTTTGTCAGAAAATGAGCGCAATGTTGGACTACTTTCTCATCGCCACTTCCAGAATTCTGTCCCAGTCAAAATCCCTTGAAAGTGTTGCAGTGAAATTGGTCGCCAGGCAAATACAACTTTTAATGTCAGAAAATCAGAAGTTTCTCGAAATGATTTAATTTTTTTAATTTTCAACTAGGCCACATGACATCAGTCGCGTCTCGTTGACGTCATCGGCTGGCTCGCACCAACATTCTAGAACCATCATGTTCATTCGGATGAAAAACGAAAGCTATTTTACTTACCAAAGGCCCAGAAAACATCTGTTAGCATTCTTGGGTGTCATAAAAATTTGAGTTTATAGTACACAATTATTCAGGGTTAATCTACACTTGCGGTTTCTAAATTTAATGTACTGGATATTACACCAAGTGTTTACATTCAAATGTTAGTTTCATTAGTTTCCATGGAAAACGAGATTGAGAATCCTTGCTCAACTTGGTTTGGAGTTTGGACCTCCTTGAAAGTATCAAAAGTAGGTTGTCATATATTTCAGTTTCTCTTAGTATGCGTCATTGGACATCTGTTCTTCGTGCTAATCGCTGACGAAGATTTATTTGAGTTCAATTTTTTTGCGAGGACGTTTCAAAAGTTTGTCGAGACATCTAAGGCGAACCATATTCTCAAGTCAAAAAGGGCGGAAATGCTAACCTACTGGATTGCCAAACTCACTAAGTGAAACTCACTGCGGTAATTCTACACTGGTGCATGGCTGGCTCCGCGAACGAGCAAGATGAAGCAAACCTTCTGATATAATCGGCTGTCAGAGGAGGGCCAATTCTTCCCGCTATGATCCCTAATTATACCAAATTAGAAATATGCTGACCTTATTACTCAATTGTGATGCCGTGCGTTTGGTACCGACAAACCAAATGATACTGAAGGATATAATAACAAAGGAAAGGATTAGACAATGATATATTAAACCGGAGACAATGATTCAACTCTAAATATCCCAAAAATTAAATTTAGCACTCCAAAATCTATTTTTTTCAAAGAAAAGAAGAAACAGTTCAAGGCCTAAGAGTTGCTCTTATGACGCCAAATCTGCTATTCTCGCTCGCAAAGATTTAGATAAAAGTTTGGAATAGAGGGGTCAATTCCAATCAACCGAAATAGCAAAATAATGAACAGAACCAAAGAATAACCTCGTCAAAACAAGTGTGGGTAGTTAATTCAAGCAAGAGGAACGGATTTTAGCGCGGAGACGTTTTCTTTGCTCCATGAGCATGGAGCACCAAAAGTGCAGAGTGAGGAATTAATTGCACTTCCTTAAACAGGATCTCCCCTCTGATTTCAACCACAACGTAAACGAAGGCATCAGTAAGAATGCCAAATTTGGAAGTAATCAATAATTCAGGCGATTCTAATTGCCTTTGTCCGTTAGATTTCTCAAATTTTCATGCTAAAGAAACGAAAAGACATTCAAAGTACGTCACTACGCTGTTTTCTCTCTTCTTTTTCTGTTAAAAAGAAAAAAAATCCTACAAGGCGCCGCAGGCAATAGTACGTGACCGCTGCCTAAAAGTACTCAAATACGAAAAGTTAAAAGCCCCATCAGCTGAAAATCGGATCAGAGTATAATAGGCACTATTTATATTTACGACTAAGTGTTACAGATTGCGCAACATCTTCTGTCAACAAGCCTATCACATGTCTTCTCGCTAATCCAATGTTGCGTAACATCTCAATTTAACGAGTCCATGATAAAATCCACGCTAATCCAGGGTTGGCTTTTTCTCAATATCTATTTTCGAGCAAAAGGGAGGATACTAATCTATTTCAAAGATCTAAATTTATAAGGAACTTACTAATCACGTCGGACAAACCAGTCATTTAGGGACATTCGAAAACACGACACTTCATTTCCACCAGATGGACTCTTAATCTCTTGCACTATCTAACCTTCTTTGCTACGGTTTGGTTAAGAAGTAAATAAGAGCACTTAAGAAAATACCGAATTTATCACTTCTAATTGCCACTGCCATAAAGCAAGGAAGGTGGATTGTAAAGACCTTAATCATTTCGTGCGTGATTCACTTTGAAATCGGCCGCAAGCCTAGACTCACTTTCATTTTCTAGAAGTACTTAGTTGACATGTTCGGTACCATTAAACGAACTGAAAGAAACCCGATTATTGATCGACCGTGACCATATCCTCTTCAGTGTTGGTGGTCTTTGATCTGCTATGTTTTGCTTTGTTTTGTTTTCCAAGAAAGACGAGTAACATTTCAAATTTCTGACATCCAAACGGGAAAAAAATTCAAGTTAAGCTTCACTCTGGCGTACATCTTTTGCCCATGCTGCGACTTCAAACCATCCAGAACGCTGTCCGAGATCAATGTATGTGAAAAGTTTTGCTGGTTTCGTCTACAAAGACCAAGGCTTTTGTTGGATACTCGAATTAAAGAAGTAAATGTTGTATTTTTCACTAAGACTTCGAAGCACCCGTCGTTGAAAGATTTAGGGTAAATGATTTTTTGTTTTTTTCTTGTTTACTTTTTCTGTTAGAGTCAGTCTTATTCAATAGCGGAAAATTATATTCGTGTCAAATGTTAATATTTCCACGCGAGTACCTTTAAAGAACAAACAAACCGCTTTAAGGTAGAACTGCTTTTTGCAAGCTCATAATTCTTGTTGAGGAGGTGAAAATCTGTCTCAACCAGCGTTTTGCGATCTTATTGTGCGATGCTGGCAATTCTTGACGTAATTCCATTTACTTATTCCCTTTATCACACGCGGTAGAATGCCTCGAACGCCGTAAATTAATGTATAGTTAAATGATAAGACCGTTAATGCATTGCAATATTCAAAACGCCTTTTAGAAAACAAATGCCTGACTACGTGGGATGACAATGATTTTCGATATAATAAAAATATTTGTAAACGTATACTTAGATGTAAAGTTCTACGACAAAGACATACTTTGACTACATAGCTAAGGAATGTCGCTTACCTGTGTGAGACACACAACTGTATGTGCCGGGGTCAAGAGCTGCAACCAAATTCCTTAAGGAAATCAACTCTATATTTCTTTCAATCTAGAATATGGCGCGCTGACATACGTGGACACCCTTTCCTGGTTCGGTATCTTATTGCCTTCGGCGCTAACTTCTTTACGCAGGATCGTGCTGATTACTTCTTTTTTAAGTCAAGACACTTTAGCAGTAGTGGAAGCTTTGCCCTTTGTTTTGGTCTAATAGCATTTTATTGAATTTTTTTGTGTGTTTTTAAGCCTCTTTTTGCTCCCCTTTAAATACCGCAAGGGGCGAGGCACCTGAGGGTACGGGTGCAGAAAGAATATCTCTCCACTCCACTAGCGTGTCTTACCTCTTATTATAGCCCCTCCCCCCTCCCCTTCACCCATCTACCCCCAATCCCACCACCCCCCTCAACAAACCCAAAGGGGGACAAAGGTGCACACCTACCTGATTGGGGGCCCTGGGATCGGGAGCTCAATAGAGGGTTGGCGATGTCCTGAATTCTTTAATCCTAGCATGACTTGGTCGCTTAATGACCCAACGGAGGTACCAATTAAATTTCGTTTGATTATCTTGAGGATATTGTTCTCCACACTTTCTCCACACTAAACCACATTGCCGCCAGCTTGGCTCATTATTACCTCCCCAATGATTTCTTGTCTCAACAAACGCCGCAGCGGTTGTGGTTTCCTTCGATATGATAGAGAGTTACTCTTTGGAGGAAAATAAGGATAAACAATTGAGAAAAACCTAATCAAACAAGAACTAAATAAATTATTAATCTCTCTAGGTAAGCTGAATTATTTCAGCCGTATTTTCTGTTCAATTTCCGTCAATTAAAAATACCCTGCACGGAACTGATCATGCTAAAAAAATTAATCTTCAAATGTTAAATCAACACTGAAATTCAATCGAGGCATACATTTTTTCCTGTGATTTTAAATTTCGCGATTATTTTTAATCGCGGGTTTTTATTTCTGTAGCTGTTGCACTTCCCGAGCAGTTTTTTGTCCCTTCATCTCGACGAGGTAAAAAAATTATGAAAGAGCCTCTTCGACATAAGATAACCCCCTGTGAAACTTCTCTAAAAGGGATCACTAAGTCTCCTCCTTAACCCGGATTTCTAATAATACGTCAATTTTCTGCTTAAAACGCAGCAAGAGAACTGATCAGAACCGCCCATACGTGTCGGATGGATTACTTTTGCCTTTCTTCGCGTGGTACCTTTCCGGAGCTATAAGTAAAAAAAATTCTTCCAGAAGGACTGACTAAGTATGTCACGAGAGGTACTGCTCGACGTGATCTTTTCATATGTAATGCACCCAGCAAAAATGAGGATTGGAGAATATCACAGTTGATTGATCACAAACCTACCATAAATGATATTTTGAACAATTACTGCAAATTGCGTGGGTTAGTTTTACCACATGAATGCCAAAACAATCTTAAAATAAACTACATAGCCACAACATGATAAAAAAGTTCCGGTAATTTCGTATTAGAAGCCAATTATCGGTTTAATGACTTAATAAGATCCGTTGTTGCGAAGACTCCTTTTATCAGGCCGGAAATCAGTTCCTATCCATTAACTAGATAAAGTTGACGTCGCTTGTCAGGCTGACAAGACGGAAAGAACATAAATTATTTATCTAATGTAAGTTTTGATGCCGTACCGGTAACCGATCTGAAGCAACAGCAAGGTTATCAAGATATCAGCAGATGAAAATTTTCGAAACTCACTAGAATGACAACAGTTACTCCAAAGTTGTTTACAAAGGGAACTCTAAACTTTGCTTAAGGGTTGTTACCATAATTTGGTCCAGAAAATAAGTCTCACCCTTTACCATGATCGTCTAACCAGAGTAAAATTTTTTGGCTGATTAATTCAATTATACTGGATCAGTTGGCCCCAATTACTCCTGATTTTTCCTTACACTATGTCTAGCATGCTCACACTGCGTCTGGCCTGTCCACTTCGCTCGTAGATAAAGTGTTTCATTCGAGGGATTTGATGCATCTCCTTCACCTTTTTGACAAAAGTGCAGATTAACATCCACCTTTACAAATCTTGTCGCACGCACTTTAAATTCTATGACCTGATACTCAAATTTTCCCTGCTCTACCTTTTTATAAATTGGTGAAGCGAATAAAAATAGGACAGTTCAATGCTAGAAATAGGATAGCGCGATCCCGTGCATGAAGCGAGCGTGCCAGAGTTTCTATCAACACTTTAAGATAAAGTCTTCTCCTCAAGCTTACATGTGATATTCTGTTATGTAATTTTTTTTTTTTGGGTCTCCGTGGGTACCGTAATGAATCCTAAAATCTTATTAGTTCTTGGTGCGCTCCGGATTTTCCTATCTCTGCATACGGGCAGTGAGTCAACGAGAACATCCTTTGCTTAATTAATATATTTCGTTTTGCCAACTGGGCAGCATTTTTAAGCCTTAATAATGCTGTCTAATCGGCAAAACGAAATATCGGTCACGAGCTCCAGCCAACGAGTAACTTATTAATCCTATCTTCTCTCTTCTCTTTCTCTTTCAAATCACTTTAGTCGCCTGAAAAAAATTGGTTTCGAAATGAATTTGTTTCATGTTGGGTTAACACGCAGCCTAAAAGCCGTTTGTGATTAATTTCAATCCTTCACAAAATTAAAACGTGAGGTGTTTGTTTGAAATTGAATTAATCAATGAAACTTTCAGTCATCATTAAAATCTGAATTCTTCCAAACAATTTGTTCGTTGTAGAACGATGAGCAAAATTTTGAGTTCTACTACAGATTCACTTTCAGTTAGTCATTCCAAGTCCTTTTGATTTGGACATCATCTCAATGAACCTAAGATTTTGAGTGGAAGATAAGATTTGGACACGCCATTTTAGAAAACAAACGAGCAAACTCTCACAAGTACACAACATACATTTGAATTTACCTTCAGTTATCTTCCCTTCACCCTTAAACTCCCATGAGTGACCAAGATATAATTTCTCCTTACCATATCAATACAATATCAAGCAGGTAAGTGATGAGAATGAAGAAAAATATCAATTAGGGGATTATTAGTTGATCCAATGCCAAATTCTCCAAACTAAGATCACAAGAACTTTGTGGTAGACAGTAAGGAGAATCACTAATGAGATCTTGGGAGTTAAAGGGTTAATGACTGAACAGAGGTAAAGCTTCGTAGGTCAGTCGACGATGGAAGTGAATAATACTTTCCATAGGATCATCGATTGTTTCTGAAGAAAAGTTTGTCGTGATAGTCATTGAACTTGAATTTGTTCGCCAGACCAGTACCGTTGTTTTTTTCGAATGTGTATATGCGCGTTTTTTCTTTCTTACGCGCTCTCTAATTAACAAGTGTCACATCATTTTAGATCACCTTTATCGTTACGAAAATAAAACTGTTCCGGTGAAGCCTCTCTCTTTATTATGCATTTATTTTGTTTTCCCTACCATCTCGCTCACAAAAGTGTTTATTTTATGGAGGATCTTGCCCTAAATAATTCAGGTACTTTGGAAAGCATTTCGATGAGTTTCAGAAAATTAAAGATGTTATTCACCAACCTAGGTCGGTCCGTATCGGGAAAACTGTGCCCTCTGTCTTGAGTTCCGGCCTCGGGCGGTACCCAAGACCACAGACACAGTTTTTCCCAATATAGACCTTCTGGCTAGTGAATAAGTAATAAATATATAAATCTAGGACAACTCCATAACAGATTTTAGGTAAATCAAAAGCAGACATCACTTTCTAAGAAACTTAGCGCGCCTAGAAGCTGCTTCATCTCTCGGTATAAAAATAAAACAATTTTTCACCAAAAAAAGGTGTGTTCCTTCCAAAAGTTCCACGTTTGCACACTATCTTAAAAACATTGGCATGCGTAGCATGCAAGAGTTATTTTTTGGGCTGGGTGGGTTGAGATGAGACAATTTGCGTATTTAATGATTTTAATTTTGTCACCGCGAAGAGCATAACTTTAAAAAAACGAAAATATCGCAGAAAGACAGAAAAAACCTAATTTACCTGAACTCACACAGATATTATGTGATCTATTGTCTCTATTGTCTAAGTACTTGTAAGTTAAAATGAAATGCATCGGTGTCTCGCTTACTGTTGTCTCCTTTGCAGCCGTTGTTTGTTTTCGTCACACAACGCCCTCCATTTTCTGTTTGAGAGAGAGCGTTGCGTGACGAGACCAAATACTGGTTGAGGTTACACTTACTGCCGTTCATCCAACTGAGAGAAAATCAAAATTATCTGTCTACAGTTAGTTACCTCAAAAATATAATTTAGCGTAATTTTACAACGAAAAGCAAACTGAAACTTTGTTGTTCCTCTTAAAGTCCGAAACCAAATATATATTGCGATCTCGAATAAGTGAAGAAACATCGAACAAAAGAAAAGGATAATATATTAAAGAGGGCTCCTTGATTGGTTGTTGCCTATCTGGACTTTGCCCTCTATGTGCGAAATGCATGATAAAATGCAGGTTGTTTTACGAGGAATTAAGACGCAATTGGGTTAAGTCCAAGGTAGCTTAAAGCGACTTTAAATCGTAGAAAAAGTCAAACACGGGAGGATTGCGTGGAAAACTCAATATCAGTAGCATTTAGTTCCATGTGAATTTTTTTAGTGGGGTTTGACAGTGCAGTTAGAATACGTGATAGAATGCAGGTTGTTTACCAGAAAATGACGCGTGATAGAGCGAAGTCCAATATGGCAAAATGGAATTTGATTGGTGGAATACAATTCAAAAACGTGAAAAATTGCCTAATGTTCATGTAGTGCAATGATTGCGTATGTTCTGATTGGACTTTGGACGTTGTTTTCATGATACGTGATGAACTGTAAGTTGTTTGGCGTGTGCGTTGTTAGTAAAGGAGCGAAAAAAACACGTATTGACTAAAAAATTTTAATTGTAATAAATAAAATCTTGACCTTAATCGATGAGGCACGCCAAGGCCACAAACCATTACGTTTATCCAATGGGCCCAAAATTTCTGGTTAATGTCATTCTTTGTGCATAGTTCTGTGATCCAGACGTCATTTATAAGGAAACAATACCCAAACGCTGTGATTAGTGCATGATATTCAAATGCTATGATATGATTGGTGCGAGATACATACCCTAATGCGGCGATCTGATTGGTGCGAGCAACATGCCACTCTATATGCTAACATAGAGTTATTTTTCTTAAAAAAAAAAAAAAACTCAAAAACCATTCGTGAAAATTAAAGTAGAATGAGCCCAGTTTACGTGACGACCTTGATATCTTCAAATGTGAAGATATGAATGGGATCTTTACAGATTTTCCCTCTAGATGTTACTGGAGTGAAATACCCTTTCAAAAATCATCGAACAATCATAGGCAGACCTATTTCAGCTACTGACTCAACTAAGCATCAAGCCTTCCAGGCAAAATTTAATCCAGATATACCGCAGATTACTAGCCGATTTGAATTCCACGTCAAAACGCTGTACAGCCAACGAAACTGCATTACCGCTATGTGCTTAAATGTGAAGTCGACAAAAATACGCAACCTGCAACGTGCCGAAAATAATTGCCACTACATTAAAATACATTTGCGGTGCTAGATACTTTCTAGTGGACAGACAAGTTGCCTCATAGCTGTTCATTACTGCAAAGTTCCACTATTTTCCTGATATCTCTTACTCGAGTCTTGTTCACTTGCGAAATTGGCATCACAATTCATGTCCTTTACACGGACTTTCTCGCACGTATAATTAAAAAAATTCTCACCAGCAATTATCATAAATAGAGTTGATTTAATAAACTCCTCCAACCTGTTCCGAAAAGCTCATTATGTTAGACCGCGAGATTTAAGGGTCATTACTAAATATATGATCTGATAATTATACTGAATATGTGCATTAACTAAAGGAAAACGCAACAGTTTCTGTGAGTGAGTTGACATGTAAAACCCGACAACTGCTTACGATTCGCAGGTCGGCTGGGTGGAAATTCAGACGGACAAGTCTAGTTCTATATTGGTTGGTGGGTCAAATATACTCACGTACCGGTGAAGCTTTCCAGAGGTTCTGTCTGATAAATTTGAGGCGAAACAAGGCAAGAAGATACCAGCCTCGAATTGCACGACCATTCTCAAATCTCAGCTGAACGAGTCACAAGAACACAAGAATGCTCCTCGTTCATCTTTGGACACCATTTGATACACTAACGAATATTAGTATTGACTAGAGTAATTAAAGAAACTATTTTCTTTACTAAGAGTTCCACATTTTTTGTAATTTCCTGTCCTCCCACATACTCTGTGGAAACTAGACTGCTCGAAATTCGAAGCATTTATGGGCCAAATTGGGTGCAATTCTGTGGTAGAATCCACTTCACTTGGCTCAGGAACTATTGGCTACAAGAATATTTTATACAAAGACCGTTTCCTTGGACTTTTTCGGTTAGTACTCATCTAATAATAGTACTTATAATGAGCTACGAGCCACAAAATTCACATATGGTAGTTCGTGTTGTGTATGGTACATTCGAGATAACGACGAAGATAATCCAGTGGTGAGAATAAGGTCTGAAAATCCAGTTTTGATATTTAATCGATAATTTCATCAAAGAAGGACAACAAATTGACGAGTTTTTAACAAGAGGCACGCTACTGTTTCTAAAATTTAGAGTTTTTTCGATCCCATAAAGTTATTCATTCTTTCATGAAACAGATACCATTGCATAACATTTTTACGCAGCGTTCCTTCTTTGTCACCGTCGACACGCATCAGAAAATTCGAGAAAGCGAATTGTTCTTCGAAGGAAACGTGTCTCAAAGCATGTCTCAGCGTCCCAAATATAGTACAACGCAATCCCTGATAATTTTTCGAGGTCCTCTTTAAAGCTTTTAATACGCCTTACCTCTGAGTTTTCTTTCATTTGAAGCTTTGCCGTAGCAAGCTGACCAGTACAACTCGTACGAAGTCCTGAGCACCGTTTCGTTTCACTTGACGTGAATAGACCCATTTTCGCATTTAATTGGCGAGTGTTGGATCGAAACTTTCTCCTGCATTGCATCTGAGTTCGACAAGAGGGTTACGATGATATCACCTGCCTTCGCGCCCCGGTTAAAACCGACTGAAGTTTCTTCTTACTTCGCGTCCGCTTGCATTGGCATGGCGCCATGTTGATCCTGGAAAAAGCGGGAAGCAAAAGCAGAAATTCAGAGCAAAATTTCTAACCTGGCACATCTTTAAAAATGATGTTCCCGACTTTTTGCTAAGAGAAAAACGGTTTTCCCGTTGACTGCCTCTCTATTAGAGATTAACATGAGCGGTAACAACACCAAATAGACTCGGAAGGACAAATGAGCATTGCATCATTGTGTCGTTTCACTTATGGAAAGCTTATTGCGCGCGTGCGCATGATTTTGTTTTCTGTTTCTTTTTCTTATTTTTTTTTATTTCGTTTCATGGGTCATGCGCAGTTCTAAAGTTGAAAACAGGGTGATGATAAAAGAGCCAAGGTCAATTCGGTGCAGAGGTCCCCCCGCAGGCAATTGATCGAACATATTTGATTCATCGTGATTACCGGCCGTGATACCCTTAGGGTGCGAACCATCTAGAAGCACTAGGTAGAACTCTTGCATTGTCTTTTATGGGTATGCCTTTTCAAATTTATAATTTTTTTTTTGCGGACCGTTTATTGTCGTTGTGTTTTTATTTTTGTTGCTCTTTTTTATACCTGCCCCGTGTAAGTATGATAAATAGAATTCTGAAAACTTAAAACGAATGCCAAACAATTGGCTAGTTACAAACCATAAGTGGGGTGTTGATCACAGGACCTCCAAAAGACGAAATTAAGAAAATAAGAGCGTGGACTATAGAACCTGGATCTCCGGCTCTCCGGCCTCACTCCTGTCTTTCTAACTATCTGTTTCCACAGTCTGTTTCGGGTACGATTTGCGGGCTGAATTTTAAGCGTTCAATCTCAAAAATAGAGCGCGGTGAAGCGAAACAAGCGCTTAGCCTCCCTCTTTTCGACACAATTTTTAATTTGGCGTTAAGTTACTAAGAGTATGTTGCCTAGTACACAATCCTTGATGCTTAAAGGCAGACCCTGGTTAAAGGCGTCAGAGATACGAAAGCACAGCGAAGCAATCTCCAATTTTTTTCCAACCCGATTCTATCGTGTCTCTACTGCTCAACGATTCGATCTCACCAAGACGGCATAAACCGTTCAGAGGGAGGGGCTTGGGAGGAGAGGGAGACTTTAGCGCCTCCACTTTTAAAAAAAAAAAAAAAAAAAAAAAAAAAAAGAAAAAAAAGAAACTTGTCCTGCCAAAAATGCCCCATCACTCTGCTTTGTTGTCTAAAGCTCATGCACTCTTCTCTAGCCCCCTCCCCCTCCCCCCTTCGCACCCACTGAAACATTTGCTGCGTAGGCCCTAGACGGGCAAGCTAGACCTTGACCTTGCTAGAGACTGCGTGTGCCGAGACACGTGCTTGTGACTGCGAAAAAGTCTAGAAATTGTTCGAGGTCAATCTTTATCTATCTTCTGCATTTCTACTACTTAGTAATTGTTTTCGTCTTTCATTCACAGCCTCAGGCTATTTTGCTCGCAACAAAATATTTAATACAAGTTCTTGAATTGCTTCTAAGTTTACAAATTCCAAGGTTATGATTTGTTAATATGACAACTAAAATCTTGATGTACATGATTGATAGCAATTTTTTTGGCAGCCTCTAAGCGCAAGCTAGCACTACTTTGGGCAACCTCTAAATAGTGATCAAACAAATTTTTCAATTCGTTCGAGTCGATATAAATACACAGCCAACTCGCACTGAATGTGTAGCTCACTACTCGGCACCCGAAAATAGCTCATCATAAAAATTATCAAGGCCAACAGAAACGTCAAAAAAAAATTAAGATCCTGAAGGCCTATCTATTTACATGTTTAACATCATGACGGCAATAGGGTCATGAGATCAAGAGAGTTCGCTGAGTGCTTAACCATCCAGTTACTTTTCCAAAAAAAGCACGCAAACTAGAGAAACTGAAATCAACCAGAACGTGATGAAGTGCAATATCTTTTAAAAAAATTACCGCCATTTTCACTCAAAATCATTTCTTCTTCCTTCTCATCAGATCGTTACTCTGCTTAAAGAGAATAAGACCGTTGTGTGACTACGAGCGTGACTGCTATCCAAATAGCATCTTCATCACGCAACGGTTGTTCATCATGTAAACTCACAGAGGGGTGGGAGAGTCCATGGAATTTCTTCTTACTGAGTCGGTCGACTGAACAGTTGAAAAAAGGACGTCCAAGTTACATCTCAACGAACTGGAAAATAGGCATTTTTTAGATGTGTTAGGACGATTATCTATCTGTTTTATTTCCTTCATAATTGCTTTGAACAAAGATATTTTTCAATGAAATATTTTATACAAGATATCAGGGGCTGAAACCACACGAAGGTTAATGTATTCTCCCAGAAGTGTTGTGTTTAGTACTGAGGGTTTCCTGTATGCTGTTGTTGCTGAGCCTGCTGTGTAAGGTCCTGTGGCGCTGGAGTCGATAATTGACGCGTACTAAGCAATGTCTCGTCTCTGAAGTCCTACTTCACGTGGCACTGCCAGCTGCCGCTGGAGTGAGAGGTCCGCAGATTTTGTGAATTTCGGCATACGCCGTAGACTGCTGTTGCTGCTGCTGCAGTTTTCGTTGTTGTTGTTGTTGATGTTGTTGGTCCTATTTCTGTTGTTGCTGTTTTTTTTCAAATTTGTTGAAGAAACTGTTGAGTAGTTTAGGGCGTATTCGGGCTCGGTGCCTGATGGGGTATCGGTTCCAACTTAAAAGGAATAATTTGTACACCAAAATTATGCAGTAAAAATATGTGGTGATCGTGCTCATTCAAGAGCTAAATACCATCGTAACTCTTTACCTGGTCCGTGTAAACAATAAGAAACAATACCGTGCTCTCGGAATGCGCTTATTCGCATGCTTACGTGATAATTATGCTCCCTTTAGCATGCGCAACGCAATACTGAGAAATCCCCTTAACGTACACGTGCTGCGTGAATTTGTGTAAAATTTGAGCGCGAAGCGGGACTAGAACCTCTTAATAGGGTCACGAAAGTTACCCGAGTTTTAACTATCCACTGATTCTTTAAAAATAAGCATGCACACTCAAGAAGCTGTGATCAACCCGAAAGTAGCGCATTAGGAATTATAAAAGAAAAGAAACCGCTTTATTTAATCAAGACTCTTCCTTTGTCTTTTACTTTAGATCGTCACGGAACGTAAACAGAACAAGACCGTTGTATGACTATCCAAATACACGCCATCTTCACGTCTAATCACCACATCAATTCGCGCAACAGAACCATCCTTATGGAACAAAGAGCGGTGTGGAGAGGTAATTTTTCATTACAAGAAGGAACTCATTTCGGTTTTCTTACCGAGTGGGTCAACTGCGCAAATAAAAAAAAGACGTCCTTACTCACAGGAAAATAGGCATTTTGTGAACGTGTTTGACACGAATTTCTCTCTATTTTATTTCCTTCATAATTGCTATTTACAAGGACATTTTCTCATTAAATTTTTTAAAACATCATACCACGAGCTGAACTCTTAGAGACGGAAGGGACGGTGGGGAAGGGGGAAGGGGTCTATGCTTGATGGAGGGGAGGATGGAGGGGTTGAGGGGTCCAACAAGCTGCGTTTTAAAGTTTTAAAGGGAGAAGGGCAAGCCTATGTGTAGCCGTACCTCCCCTCCCGCTGAGGTGAAATGGAGGCGATACAACCTCGCTTCCGTTTCATCTTGGGCGGGAGGGTACGGCTACGCGTAGGCTAGAAGGGCTTAATTTTAGCGGATCTTCTCCTCCTAGGGATCTATTACCCAGGTTAGAGGAGACCCGTGTTTTGTTCCTGTTATATTCCCTTAAAACTGTGGTGTTTGGTACTGAGGATTTCCTGTGTACTGTTGTTGCTGAGCCTGCTGTGTAAGGTCCTGTGGCGCTGTAGTCGACAGTTGACGAGTAAACTGAGCAATGTCTTGTCTCTGATGTCCTACATCAGGTGGTGCTGATATCTGTCGCTGGAGAGTAAGGTCAGCGGTTTGTGTAAATTGTGCGGACGCCATCGATATGTCTGGGCCAGCTAGTAAGGAATACGATATCACAATCAGAGTCTAACTTGCCAAACAAGTTAAAAAATAACGAAAAAAATAAATGATAAAACCAATCACAAGAAGCAAGGTGAAACGGCAAACTAATACGGGTAATTTGATGCCTAAGTTTAAGTCTCAGAAAAAAAAAAAAAACCACTCACACCACGAAACCAAAAACCACCACAACAACGACAAAAAAAGAAACCCAAATTGCCTCTGATAATTTATATGTAATTCCATCATCCGCTCACCACACATTTTGGTGACAGCAGCCTATATGTACGTGTCATAAACCGGCACTGGTATGAACAAACGAAGGGCATTAACGATTGGATACTGGCAGGTGTTCAAGGAATGGGCTCCCGCTAGAAGCCAAAAGAAAAAGCGTTTTTTAACTTATTTTTTTTCTTTTGCTCATGTTGTTTTATTTTTGGTTTTTTGATGTGATTATTGTTTTGTTTCGTTTCAATCGTGCGGGCGTTTCTCACTAACCATCAATATTCGATTCGACTGAAACAGTTTTTACGGGTTTTGCCGAGGCAAGCCAAAAACCTTTTACCTGACAACTGTCTATGTAAATGTCTCATTATCAATTCAGTTGAAGCACGATTTTGTTGCTGCTGTTGTTGGTGTTGCTGCTGCTGTTGCTGTTGCTTGATTTGTTGTTGTTGTTGTTTCAACTTAGCAGCCGCTAAAAGCCTCTGGTTGTGTTGTTGCTGCTGTTGTCTATTCACAGAGCTTTGCTGGAACTGGTTTTGGAACGCTGGTTGCATCTGCGCCACTGGGTTCATTTGCGCGTGCGCCGATGACACAGGCAGCGGAAGTTGCATCGTGGCCTGCGCCTGTGGCTGTGGCTGAATAGCCCGCGGACCAGTCAACGAAAACTGAGGTTGCTGTTGGACCTGCTGCTGTTGTTGTTGTATTTGTTGCTGTTGTCTTTGTTGTTGCTGCTGCTGAACGAGCTGTTGTTGTTGTGGTTGTATTGGCCGCGTGAGGGCCTGGGATACAGTAAGACCTTGATAGAGGCAAAGGGAATGATGACTTAATCTCTCTCTTTAATAATTTCTCTAATAATAATAATTAAAAAAATAGATTACGTACTAAATTATATAGGATATGATTCATGCTACCCTCGACATAATGAGCCGTTCTTCATAACGGTACGCAGAACCACGGATTCTTCTTCGTTTTCTTGTTTATTCTCCGCACAATGTCTCGCTAAGAGGACTTATAACTCACAATAAACCATAAAAAAAACTCTCTCTGTAAACTCGCTATTTTTGTCGCGTCCGGTTGTCTGACTAAGAGGGGTGGGATCAATAAAAACTTATGTACCTCTTGGCCCTTAGGTTTGATAAAATTCCTAGTCTAAGCCTTATTATAGCTTCATTTTGATTGGTTCTTACAGACGCATAGAAAAAGTCACCACCAACAAGATTTTTTATCAAATAAAACAAATAGATTCCATATTGCCGTGGGTTTGTACATTACTTCATAGATCGCAGAATTCGTCAAAATGTGGTAAGCGTGTGAATGTCACACTCAGCTGCACCTCGTGTGCCACTGTTTGGCTCTTACCATACTTTGATGTCATCTGTGATCTTTTTTTCTGAACACAAGCACAGCAACAAGGAATCTACTTGTCAAATAGACAGTAGGAAGAATTTGTTTACGTTAAGGTATTGGTGTAAGATCTAAAGCGCTTGCTAATTATTTTTGTGTAATCTTGTATTTATTTAATATTCCGTCTTTGTGTTTTTCATGCCTTCTCGTTGGTGTTTAGTGTTAGGTTTGTTGACGTTTATCTTCGTCAGTCTCAAACTTTTTGCACGTTTCTCATGCCGCACGTGATTTCGAAGTTCTCCTGTATTTTCATTTACGCATAACCACTTTTTAAAGTCAGTTTAACGCTGAGCGCAGTTCTCTGTCTAGAAGTCTTCTTCACCTTAAAAGTTATTCGCTACTTCTGTTAGAAATTTGGCGTTCAGTATCAATATAAGTATTTTCCATTCCGCTTCTTTTTCATTCATTTTTTGTTTGTAATTTGTTTATTTTAGTTAACTTAAATTTCACCAATGTTTTCAGATTCAACCCGCTGCTGTATGTTAGCTGTGTAAATAAAATTCTGAGTAAAGTATCCTACGTTGGTGCCCCTCTTTGTTAGTGTTCCCTCATAAAATGAACAAAGACACGCTTTGCCAGGGTTTCTACACAGAGAACTCGGCATGAGGTCAAGTTTGCAAAAATTCTGCCATAAGCTTACCTTGAAATGCAGCCGAGTTAAACGACTGTTGTTGCGTGATCATGCCGCCAAGAGATGAAGGCAGTGCCATGGTGGTCGGAGCCGAGGATGTAGAAACGAGATTGGGCCGAGTTGTGACCTGGGTTCTACCAAGGGCCGTGGGACGCTGGGGCTGAGTGAAGGTGTATTGTTGATTGGGGTGGATTTGACCAACTGCTTGCGAAGCCTGAAGCTATGAAGACAGCGACAATAACCGAAAAAATACAAATCACGTCAAAGTAATAAACACGGTCTACTTTTTCCTTTTTTATAATCTCACCGCTTTCTACATAGAAAATACTTATGGTGGATCTTTAAGATCAATAAACAATAACAAGGTCAGTCCACAACACCAAGAGCTATGCTCCCTTCTCTTTGAGAGAAGTGCACGGGTTCTATAACTTCCCCTGCTATCTAGTGCAAAGAAGAATCAGGAAACAGGGCCTAAAATGGCTAACTATTTGCAGATGTCGAAGCAAACGTAGCACATTCTACTCAGTTCTTTTCAGACCCTTGTTGTTGGTTCGGTCTGGGGCTTGAACCCTCGACCTCACGAACGGCAGTCCGGCGCTCTACAAATATAGATAACCGAGCACAATTGAGAAAAACGGTTCTGATTCTGTACTAAGTTTATAATTGGCCTCTTAAAGTGTACAGAACTGAAAACATCACCTAAAAATTTCAGTCCCTTACCTGATTGTTGGGAGGTAAATGTCTTAACTGCTGGTTTGTTTGCGGCTGTTGTTGTTGCTGCTGCTGCTGCTGCTGAGCAATCTGTGTTTGTCCCATTTGAAGTTGCTGTTTGAGAAGCGAACTCTGTTGTGTAAAAAACTGCAACGCTTGCTGTTGTTGCTGTTGTTGTTGTTGTTGTTGCTGTAGTTGTTGTTGTTGATGTTGTTGTTGATGATGTGGTTGTTGTTGTTGTTGTTGTTGCTGCTGTTGTTGTGTTTGTTTCTGTTTTCTTGAAATAAGTTGATTGATAAGCTGTTGAGTAGCTACGGACGCATTTGGGCGCGGTGCCTGATGGGGTATTGGGTTCTGGGAGGGGTGTGACGTCAACATAGACCGTAGATCAGTTAACGGATTTGGATTAGCCAACCTGAAGATATATAAAAAAAACTAATTAACAGTGACTGAAAACCAGAAGAAAAGCGTTTAAGGAGAACCATTCTCCAGAAGTCACTTTTATCTCTTTGTTGCAACACTGACTAACACCTCGAAATTGTCTACAAATATCCTAAAAACTGGCATTTTTAATCCTGCTTAGCAGCCTGGTTACTGAGCAGTGCCATGAAAAAGTAACACAACTCTTTTTCCCATCTCGTGGCAATCTATTTGAGCAATTAGAAGCTAAACAAAAAGGTATTCTTGATATATATATATATATATGTATTCATATATATAAATGTGGGGGTAGAGTCTACCTTGGCATAAAGTGCTCAATGCTGTGGTAGCAGAGCTAAGTATACATAAGTTAAAGAATTAAAGAGGAAGTATCGATTCTCGATATATATGTGTGTATATATGTGTGTATATATATATATATATAATTTTTTGGTCAAATCTAGAACAGCAAATGCTTGTGGACAGCGCTTTGGTGTTTTGCAGGTGCGTTCAGGTTGTATGCAAATGGCAGCGGATATATATTTATGTATACTTTTATTTTCACCAACAGGGTAAATAAGTGTTATCAAATGAGTTGATAACGTTAGTTGACCACCGTACCAATCGCACCGATTATTAACCACCGACCAATCGCTCTAACGAAGGGCTAACGCTCGAAACGTCAGCTTTGACACTCTCTACGGTGGTCAGTTGATAATACTAATTTACCCCGTTACAGACGCAGCACCACAGGTTATTCAGAAAGTTTCCCCCTTTAATCGTATATTTTCATCAATTTAGCATTGATGAAGCATTTATTTTCGTCAACGTTCATTTATTTTTATAGTTGCTGGTTTAAGTCGCATACTTCTTCTAAACATGAGCAGACACGAGTATTTTTTTCCCACACAGTGAGTACCAGTTTGGTTTCTTCTACTACTCAACAAAAGACTCCGACTCACCTTTGCTGCTGCTGTGGCTGCATTCCAGTCGGAACCTGAAGGTTCCTTTGCTGTAGACCCTGCTGGAAGAACGCTTGCTGCTGCTGCTGCTGTTGCTGCTGCTGCTGGGGTGGGTTCTGCCCGGGGAGCATCATCCCAGCCGGTTGGTTCTGAAAGTATTGCTGTTGCTGTTGCTGCTGCTGTTGCTGCTGCTGTTGCTGTTGTTGTGGCTGTTGTTGGTGTAGTAGATATTTCTTTTGCACGGCCGCTTGACCAGGCAGTTTCGTTGTTGGGCGTTTTGGTCGCTTCGTGACCTTTTTCGTTTTTCCTCCGTCTGGCAAAGCCATTTGGTTCGCTGGGAGGCTTTGCGGTACGTTAAGGGCTGTTGGAACGTTCAGGCCTGGAGCTACTGGTGCAGTTATCAAAGGTATTTGACCTGAAGTAAGAAAAGAGAGAACGAATTTGAAAAATGTACCTCAACACTGACCGTTGAAAGGATGAAAACTTATAGTTTGTAACTAAACGAATCTATATCTACAAATGGGGACGTATCAAAATGGTGCTCCTTCGCTTGCCATCAATAGCATTGACATCTCTTCTGCTGGAGGATAAAGTCTGCATCTAATAGCTGTCACAACTATCAGCGCTTGTCCCGTTATCGGAAACATGAATCGACTAAGTGTCCTTCGTGGACGGTACCCTGTTCTGTACCAAATAGACCCCCCTCAGCCCACTCAGTTTCCCGGAAAGTTCCCTCGTATGACAAGAGTCACACAATTACTGCTAACAAGGTTCGAGCCCATGCCTTACGATCTTAGGTCTGGCTCGCTTAGCATCCGCCCAAGACGTCTCCCTGGGGATCAATAATTAAATAATCTCAAAAGAACTAAAATATGCCATGAGTGGGCCTGATAGGTGTTCAGCGACATTTCATTTCTGCCTCATGCTAATCTTGGTTCGAGCATACTTACATGAAAGTGAGCTGCAAAACTACTGGAAGTGTCAAGTCCATTTTCAAGTGAACTTAGCGCTCTTTTTCAAAACCCCACCAAGAGCACGTCACCATTTTATATCTGTACTATTTTCACCTTTATTGTCCGCTGGAGTCTGTGGAGTAGCAGGTTGACTTGACTTGTCCGCTGCTGCTGCATCTAACTCTATTCTATCTTCCTCTTCGTCTTGCTCGTCCTCTTTGTCAGGAGCAGGACTAAGGAAGTAACTAAGCGGCCGTCTTCTGGGATGTGTGTGATGCAGAAGTCTTCGAAAATCTTGCTCATACCTCAGAGGTTTACGCTCAATCCGAACGGCACCAAACCACGCCCACGACAGAGGTGAGGGGTTTTTGTACCCCTCCATAAGTTCCCATGCACTGATTCGTTGTTTGCCTGTTATCTGCAAGCCCTGGTACAAGTGAGGGAACGAATAAAAATAAGGGGAGAACTGAAGCAGTGAAACTGTCAAACTGTGCATGAAAAAAGTCGTACACTTTGGGAAGACAATCTTATCTTCCTTGCTTGAAAATAAACATTATGTACATGCACTGTAATAAATGTTGGAATTTTCCAATACAAAAGAGCCTTCCTTGCGCGTGAAATTGGATACGTAAGCCCAGTTTTTGCTTCCATTTCGTTGGGTCGAAACGTAAATGGTCAAAAGAGTGTTTAATCAAGAGATTAAAGATGCAACCCGGTCGACTTTCACGACGTGCGTAGGTGCCTTTTCACGTGTATAATTCATAACATTTATTCAACTCACAAAATGCTACTGATAACGTCTAAATATGAAAGGAACTCTCGAACAGGTACCTGGCTGGTGCTTGGTCCTCCTGTGAGAGCTTTGTCTGCAGTCTGCCCAGGATTCGCGGGTGTGTCTTTGACAGGTGAAACAGTGAACACATTGTGTGAAAGGGAGGGGAGGGGTAGGAGCTGTTTACACTGCTGCATGATGTCAATGGGACTTTTTCCAGCAAGTTCCCGCTGAAAATAACCAAAAAATATAGCGTCAATCAATTACACAATCAAACGAACAAGCAGCTGACAAGCAAAATGTCCAAGAGCAAACTTTTCCTTTGCCGAAATGCAACATAAATGTTCTAGCTAAGTCCTCATGTGCACCGTAAACTAATTATCCATCGGAGCGCACGTAAAATCCTTAAGGGGGCGGGACATATTCACAGCGACAGCACCTTGCAACAAACCGTTCCTTGTATACTACTTCCAAACAAGTCACTCCGTTATAGAGTGAGGAAAAATAGAAAAAAAACTCCTCCTCGTGTGACATGGATAACGAAGAATTTTTGTGATTATATTTTTAGCTGTGGTCAGTGGCATAAGTTCAATCTGATTTGAATTCGGGCGACTGATCGCAGCTGGAAAATCATCTTATCGTAAAAAAGGTCTTGCCCCTCATTAGTTCCCGATCGTGTAGCAAAGAAATGTTTGGTGCACTGAACAGGTTTTCGTAAAGATTTGTCGCCACTACTCTTTGCAAAGCTTGCCTCAGCCTCAATGCTTTGCTTTTGTGAAAATCAAACGAGCTTAGAACCGTGCGTTTGACCAACTTAAAACCAAATACTCCCTCGAGAACCGCCACATCACATGCCATAAGAGAACAAAACAATAGGGTGAATAAGGTCTAAAAGGAAGAAAATTATACTCAGCAACTTTTTCCTTCACGGGAAGACAAGAACCTACGTTAATGGAACAACGTTACACCAAAATCACACTTACAAAGCGTAACTAAAATGACCTTCGGTGATTTTCAACTTTTGCACTGTCACACTATTAGTGTCAGTGAAAGGAAGGTAAGAAGTAGTTCGGTTCCTTCCCTGAGTCACATTAATCATACGGAGTAGGGTGTGATTACAACCTTTCTCCCGTCCCCCCTACTCTTAAGACTTTGCACGTGAGGTCTGAGCTTTTGTAAAAGTAGACATTCATACCTTGAGCTTCTTGAAGAGTGTAAAAGCTGCTTTCCGGCTTTCTTCAGCAGACTGTCCGTGTGGCGACTCCGTGTTAGAAACAACACTAATCAGAACTGACACCATATCCAGAACATTTGTCAATAACTCCCTAAAACGAAGTCAGCAGAGATGGATGACAGATAAGTTTGTTGCAAAGCGAGTTAAACATTTAACCCCTGCGAGTGACTGATATCTAATTTCTCCTTATAATGTCATCTTAAATCAAACATTAAGGTCATGAGAATAAAGGAAACGATCACCAGCTAACTTAAACAAATTCTTCTTGTGAGCATCTTAGGAAATGTTCAGAGAACTGTATGGAAAATATGCATTCTATATTGTGGTGTAAAGGGTAGAGAGACTTGTACAATCCACGACGAGCTCGACAACGAGCAATTTGAATCCAAAAACTAATTAAAAAAACTATGCTAAAAAGACTTTAAAACAGTCATTTTAGCAAAATGCTACAAAAGATATATTCCAGGTGAAGCTTAACTGCTCTTTTATGAAAAAGAATAATTTCCACAGTTACTGTTATCGGACACAATTGAGTGCTTTCCAGATTGAAAAACTGTAAATTTGATCATATCTTCATCATCTTTCGCAACTTCGCAATTTCACAAAACTTTGTCTTATCGTATCGAAGGCGATTACAGTTTTCGAGCGTGTCTACGATTTTGTATTTAGAATTGAGGAATCATCTATTGCAGAATAAGAATATCTGTGAATATGAATTAATCTTTTGAGATAAAATCGATTCCTGCCTACATTAAAAGAGTGCCTGGCGTTATTTCTACCCAAGGGAAAAAAAAAAACAAAAACAACAACAGCAACAGTAACAACACACAGGGGGAAAAAAACAAAGAAAAATTACTAAATAACATACTTTTTCGAAGGCAGTGAGTCAGCAGTGATTGTACCGGAGCTGACGAGTTGGAACAAAAGTGTAGCCCAATCACTAGATAGTTGACTGCTGCGTTGAATCGTGTCAAACATGGCACCAAGCTGTTCATGAAGAACCAAGAAAAATAGGACAAGTCAGACATCCTTACAAAGTGGATAAGCAGTCTTAATATAAACCCAAAAAGATGTCTCGTCCCAGATTGGCAAACAACTTTGACGGTTGAGCGCGAATTTATCGGTTGCATGTATACTGATTGTAATCTTGGCATGGGCACTTAAGAACTCAAGTAACCCGACCTCGAATAAGCGCCCACTCTATGGGTACGAAAAGTTACTATGCACCCACATTTTAGAAAAAAAAAAAGGCTGTTTCTTTACTGGCTTACAATTCACCATCAACAGTTTATCTTAACGATTTTTTGTTATCTATTGTTTTGTTGCAAAATGAACTTACTGCCTACTGAGGGTGGAGAAGGGGGGGGGGGGGGAGGGGAAGGGGAGAAAGGGTGAAAAAGGGTGAAATCGAATGAGCACCCAGTCTCGCAAAAGCACCCGCTCTCAATGTCAAACATTTGAATAACCGCCCGGGGCACTCGATTGAATAAATACGTTGAGAAGATTCTTCATCATAAATACTTAAATACTTCAAAACTGACAAAAGCAGGGCAAGCAAAGGACTCACCAGGCTAATCCTCAAGTGCAAGGCCTCTTGGAGGACTTCTTTGCTCTTTAAATCGGTGGGGCATCTCTCCTACAGTGCAAATAGTAACAACAAAAAAGCATACTAAGTGTTTCTTTGATTAAGGTAAAATGTTAACGCGTTCGCACTTAAACACGGAAGTTAAAGGAGAAATTTGTTTCCATATCAAGATCTACTTGTCATACGATTTTTTTCAAAAATCTAGCTGTTGGCTGAAAAACATATCTCTAAAGGTGACACGAATGCGAGAAACATTCAATTCTTGAAATAACTATTTTCAAAATTTCAAAGCAAGTGAGGCATACTATGAAGAAGGATGTTATTTTTCCATCTTGTCACGAGCGTGATACAAGAGAAAAAGTCCCGTTTTCAGAATCGAACCTCAGAACTTCGGATTCGCGATCCAGTAGGAGGGTCTGGGTCGAAACCAAAGGCTGGATTCCACCTGAGAACTCAGGATCTTTTCTTTGTTCCACGCTCGTGACAAGAAGAAAAAAAAACCATCTGCCTAACTCATCAGCAGGCTCCAAAATTCACCAAGTTTCTTATACTAGTGCCATCATATTATTCCTATGAGGAATTACGAAGACGCCAGGTTTTGTTGACAATTTTCAATGATTTCACGTGCAAAAAAAAATTACGCCGACGATGATGATAACCGAGTAAATTAATTTTCTAGAAATTCCTTTTACACATAGAGTTCTTCTCCTACTGAGTTTGGCGAGAACGCAGCGGCGAGTTAAGTAGACTGGCGCCCGCCACTTTTTTCCTTGCCGCGAAACTTCTTAAAATTCATGCTTGAAGCTCACAAACATTAAGTAAGGAGGCTGTTCAGCTCAGACTGGAAATCATCTATAACAGAGGGGAACACACAAACCTCAACTGAGGATTGCAGTAAGTGAGCCAACTGCCGCTGTATGGAAGCCAGAAGTCCTTCCCGCTGGTCCTCTTGCCCCTTGAGACATGCGAGCACCAGAGACAGGAAAGGCTGCGTGTGAACTAAAGTTGGCCTGGCAGGACACAAAAGAAAATAAGGGAAAAATAAGCGATAATTGAAACAAGAATTCTAGTGGCAGTGACACTTCGCTAAAGAATGGTGTTGCATTAGAGGAGATTGCTGAGAGTTTTCCAATATGGCTCCTAAGAGTTTCTAGAGCTGATGTTTCGAGCGTAAGCCCTTAGTCAGTCAGCTTTAGAAACTCTTTACGATAGCCAATTTACATTAACTCAGTTGGTAAAACCAAATTATCGTGTTATACCCCACACCGACGCAGCACCACCATTACTCTAGAAACGAAACCCCTTTTCACAATTTTCCCCTAGAGCCACAGACAAGATCAAACAAACAGTTCGGGAAAATAAACAGATTCGAAAACGATGATCGCTTCAAATTTTGGTTTGAAAGTAAAGTTACTTATTTCATTAACATTATCATCACTTCTTTGCCAATAAAATCACAAACTGATGACATCGACCCATTTCAAAACTAAAAGAGAAATTTACATATGTTCCTTAATTAATAGTAGATTACACAGTATAAATTTATCTTACACAGAGGACTTTGCCGAATGTTCCTTCCACCATTGTTTGGTGTCCAGTACTTCACCAGCAGCCTTCAGGAGTCGGCCTTGTACCGAGTTAGACAATTTAGAGATTAAAGGAGCAACTAGCCATTCTGGTCCTTTTACTACCACAGATTTTTGGTTGCTATGGGCTGTTGCTAGCGGAGTGGTGTCATGCCGCTGGACGAAGACACTCATGGCGCTTGTAGCGACTGCATCTAGTAGAGGTCCGGTTTCCTACGACAAAAATCAAGTTAATTGAATTACTTTTCCTCGCTCAAACAATACGTGAAAGAAAAGATGAATTGTGGGATACCTCTTTAGAAACCTGTTTGATCATAAGCTGTAACTCCAACCAAGATTTCCTCAAAGACCACTGATCCAAGTTCTGTAAACAAGTAGAGAAAAAAAAAACAGAAGCAAATGATTCAGTAAACTAAGAACCCCCGTAAATATTAGCTAAGGTTGCTTCTGTAATCGTTGAACACCAAAGGTTATCATTCAAAAAAACCACTGACCTGTAGTATCCTGCTTGCAGCCTCATGCATCGTCTCCATATCATTACTATTAGCAATAAGGCCACCAATGGATGACGGGACACCAGCAGGATAACAAATCAAATGCAGCAATTTCCTCGCCTGCGAGAAAGTGATCAACAACATGAACAACGATAGAACCTGCACAAAAAGGCATGTAATTTTCGTGAAAGATTATAAGCAGCGCACGGTCCGCGCATCGTTCCAATTAGTTGTTCTGGGGTAGAGTTGTCTCTTTTGTTCTCAAAGGAGTTTCACCTCTATCTTTTGTACAAGATTTTGTACAAGATGCGTGCAAGTGTACGTGAAAATGACGAAAGTTAACGAAAAAGTTCTCTCCAGTATCATCACATGACCTAAACTGGGAAATAAACTTACCTGCTTAAGAGGTCTATTCTCTAAAGGATTGGACAACAAGAGGAACACAAAACATCGTGAAAACAATATCGTGATTGTCACTATAGATAATTATCACAGAGCCGGTAAATACCTGGTTGGGAGATATTGCTGGATCAAGTAAATGCTCGGGTGAACAGAGTATTTGTGGATCTTGAAGGCATCTCTCTCTCACCCATTCCTGACGGCAAATCACTTGCAACGCAAAACCAGCGAACACACTGATGTTCGAAGTCTCCATTGCTACAAGGATTGAATCAAATTAGGATTTACAGCAAACGCTCTTGTAGGCCTTCTAGGAGCATTCATTTCTAGGGATTCAAGGGGATCAAGTGGGGAGATAGCAAGAGAGAGAGGGAGGTGCAAAAAAATTGGTTGTTCCGGTTCAAGTTCCAGCAGTTTTAAGTGACTTAATGTGTTTCCCGCTTCCCTAATGGCATGTTAATCCATCGCAAGTAACCATCTAGCATTACGTCAAGTTTCTCTGACAGTTCATACTCCCGTGTAGAGAGAGAGAGACACTGTGAGGGAGAAGTGTCTTTCCCAAGAACATAACATATTGTCCCGGCCACGGTGTGAACCTAGTCTTCAGAGTCCTGTGCATTCATAAGTGAATCAAATGATAATGACAAGGTGGAGGAATTAGCTACCTAGCAAAGCAGTTTTCAGCCCACCTGATCTGCTCGAGGCCAGTGGAGGAGGAAAAATGTCCCCAGTGCTGGACGTGCTATCCATGAAGTCGTCCAATCTATTGGAGAACAAACTTCGGAAAGAGTCATCTCGAGTGGTATCACTTGTGCTGGTAGAACCACTGTCTCCTGCTTTGCCTGAATTGAAAAAAAAAATTAATTGATAGGTGGTGTTTCTTGTTCGTTGACCATCGACATGACCAAGCTCTCAGTTCAAGAAGACGATCAGAATTTATAGTCTTTAGTAATATTCCAGCTGCGATTTACGCCCATGATTTCGCTCAGTGAACACAAAGGAAAGAGCATGAACGCGAAAAAAAAGTTTGTCATGGAAACATAACATTGCGCACTCGCTATTTCGCTCGTTTACATGTACAATGACCGAGGATCTAGAACAGAACGAACATACCGAACTAGACCTCGAACAGTACAACATACCGGCTTCCGACAGCTTGAGCATGGCCTTCAACGCTGCTAGAACAGGGCCAATTCGAATACTGTCATGCGCAGCAGACAGTAGGTGATGGTCGTGAGATGATTTAAAGGGAAACTTTAACGCCGACGAGTGGTCATGTGACATGACGTCAGTGGACTCGTCAAGAAGCCTCAATAACAGGTGACATGTCAGCCTCGCACCAGGCTCCGCTTCTTGGTTCTCCACACCTAAAAATACAACAGAGTAAAAAAAAGTCATATCAAAATCACTTCGAGTGACGAGTGACAAACGACTTTCAGTTCACCTTAACAATGATTTCCACCACAATGGAAACATGCATAACATAATGCGCAATATGGTGTTTTAACTGACAAAAATACATTACTACGGGGAGATACTTGATTGAGTTACCGTCAATACATGCTATCACATCACTCGTTTGTTGAAATCCTATGTACTGCGGCAATTGTCGGTAAGCGAACTTTTCCGTGGGAAGAAAGTTCGGTAAGCGAGGCTTTCCGTGCGAGGCGCAAACCACCGAGAGTAACATTACATAGTACGGTTATCTTCATGCAGAGAGAAAGTCAACAGATGTGTAACACGATCGCATAAACTGACGATAAATCAGCAAGACCGAGTGACGCTGTAATGGCATGATGGAAATAGCCGGAACTACAGTCGAAAACAACTCCTCTGCTTCCTACGATCAAATCCTTCAAAGTATAAAAGAACTGAAAAATAACGTGTGTTAAATTTCTCACCTGACGGAAGGGCGGCAAGAAGTGAGGGTAACGCCACATGATAGATGACATCTTCCAATGAAAAGCAACTTCTGGCTATTAGCAAAGCTGTAAATGTGGCGACGGACTCATGAATTGATAAATCCCCGACCTGTAAGCAAGATCGTGAGAGAAGTCTTCAGCAACTAAAGTTGCTGGCTTAAGGTAACTACAGTAATCTAATTTTTCTTGGGATTGCATTGGTTTTACCTTACTTCGCTCAGTGATTGGTCGAGAATACTCAAGTCACCCCCCTCAACCAATCAGATGTTAAATCGGCTCGTTAGGATATCTTCCTTCATTCTGATTGGCCGTTTTGATTACATTGGTTTTGGTTTTATACTAATCAATTAAAATGCGCTCTTTTATGTTGCCATGTTCACTAATTTTCGTTTCTCATAGCAAAATCATCTCGATCAAATGATCAAAGCAAATGATCAAAACAAAGCACACTGCTGTAATCTGGACTATTATGTAAAAACCTTTTGGTTTCACTAAGAAAAATGCAGATGTTAGTCTTGCAGGTTTTCCCCCCAAAAATCAAGGCAGTTAGTAATCCTTAGCGTTTGCCTAGAGTAATTAGTTTTGAGCTTGCCGCTATACTTACATCTACTTCCAAAAGCAAATCCACAAATCCCGAAGAGCTGTTTGAAGAGCAACACAGTGCTCTGAGAACGCCAAGCCATTGTGAACTGAGCTTGTCATGATGGGCAGTTACCTCTGCACACAGAACACCGATGTCGTACAATCTGTGGATATAAAGTTCAGTGATAGTATTATATAATGAAGCTAGCACTCTGGACTAGGAGCGTATACTAATACCGCAGGTATTTTTATTCCAGGAAAGGAAAAAAGAGGGAAAACACACAACGAAAGAGCTGTTCATGGACAGTTTAAGAACTAAATGCGACCGTTATCAACGCAGTTGATGAAACCAAATTAGATTTGAATACGGTTGAAAAGCCGTTTTCATGTTTGCTTAAAGCTTTAAATTTGCTTTAAAACAACCTGTACTTCCGCTCTTACGAAGAACCGAGCTTGTTGCGCCTGTTTTGGAGTAGTGGTGAAGCGTGTGAGCTCAAAATGCGTTCTTTTTTTTTTTTCAAATTCTTTTCGGTTCCTACCTGTTACTGGCCTAACGTTTTATAATATTACCTTTCGCTATTCTGACAGTTGCACACATTCATCATGGCATTACACACAAAGCTGTAAACATCACATGGTTTCTCGTGATTCAGAAGATAATCCCAGATGCCATCGAGCCTCTTGGTCCTGAGACGTTCAAATTGAATTTCAGTTAAGAGTGACTATCAATCACTTGAACTGCACAGGTTTAAGGCGGAACCATTCTAAAGTTTATCCCATTGGCGATAAAAAATGACTGGTCCCTTATGTTACGATGGGGAAAGGAACTATTTTATTTTACTTGGAGGGGGGGAGGTGTGTAAAGTAGCGCCTTCCTAGTAATTGAGGGAACGTCAAGTTACTTTTCATTTTACAAAATAATGATCAGTAATTTTCTTAACAAAGGAACAAAGGAGGGATATACAGTACACCACAGGATTCCCTCCTTGCCCCGCCCTTGGTTACCTTGGGTTCTGGAAGTACTCTGCCATAAACTTTGGTTCGTACGGTTCAGTGCAAGCTGATGGAGTGGTGCTCGAACACACTGCTTGCTTGATCTTAGTGAAAGCAGTGCTGAAAATATCCGCATACTTTGACTGCAAAAAAGTATAGGATAAAAGTTAGACGTCAAATAGATACTCGATGAATATGAGAATGATCTTCAACTTCCGTATAGGCCTAAATTCTTTAAGGATTTATTTTCACTGCTTAAGTAGTGTTCCTTACTACGAAGATCACTCTCATATTCATATATTAATGCGCAGCTCACATACATGATATTCATATGTTTACAGTCAAACTGATACTCGTTAATTAAAAATAAACAACAAAGAGGCTGTTAGAATAAATGAAAAAGCAGAGGGTTCACTTAGGAACTCTAAGGAGGTATAAGACAACCTTTACTTTTCGCCTGCGGTACTCATGAATAGCTGTAGAAATAAGAATACCCGGCAATCCACGTGAAGTAACATAACACTTGAGCTGTTTTCATGAACAACTTAACGGATCAGTGTAAGTTACATGACCAACATATTGTTTCAACATTTCTAAAGGACTGAAGAGGCTCCGAGAGCGAGACATTTATCAGTTCGACTGTTTTTGTGGTCAAGTACGCCACAATCTGAACATTGACTTTTTCGCCATAGAACTCAGTGGTTCTTTTTATCGCCAACTTACCCTGAGATGGGCACAAGATGAGTAAAGGTCGAAAAGCAGTCCCAGAATGCATCTTTCAGGCGACGAGCAAATACCTGGGTAAGCGATGTTCTCCACGGCAGCAAGGAGCCTGGAATCAAAATTCATTTTTTAAAACAGCCACCGAAAAACTTCAAATGGGTAAATTTAAAGCTAGCCGCTCGTTTCATAAAAATTCATTATTATGAAAATAATTTAAATACAGGTGGTTGGTTTATCTCGGAGACTTTTTATAGGCTCATCTACCACAGTTCATTATCCATTTTACCATTGAAGACGACCTTGTATCTAAGTCTTACGGATTTTTCACAAGAGAAGCGCCTCAATATAATATTTTGTGAAAGGAGAACCCGGAAAAAAACTCTTGGAGTAAGCTTGAGAATGAACCACACGTTCAACCCACATGTGACGCCAAATCTGGGAGTTGAACCCAGGCCACAGTGGCGGGAGGTGAGCGCTCTCACTAAGTGCCATGCTCGCTTCCGAATTGGCTCTGGGGAGAAAAGCTCCCCTTAATTCAAGTTATCTATAAAAATCCGAAGGTAAATAAAGTTTCCACCCTCTAACAAGCAATGAAGTCAGTGTATTTTGTAGTATCCCACTTAGATGGTGTGACATCACTCCTACGTTATAAATACTCGAATAACTTCAAAAGACAACAGACTTGTTCATTTCCACCTCCTCTAATTGATATCTGTCTGAGCAAAGACTCAAAAAGGAAAATCTTACCCTCTGAAAATCCTTGTTGTGTGTTCGGGGAGCAACATTAGACAGGCGTGATATTTGCGAAGCATCGCGACTACCACAACTGACTTAGTTGGTAATGTTCCAACGACTGTTTTAACTTGTGGTAATTGCGTGGTTGATATATCTTCTTCACTTGGCATAAGCAGGTACGCCACAAAGTCAAGAAGTCCATGAACATCACCAGAAAGTTCGAACAAGTCGTACAGGAATTCAAGTTGGCTCAGTGTCGGTGTGGGCATTACTAAACCAAATATCTTGGGTTGTTTGGCTTTCTGGTCGCGAAGAATGTTGGTGCACTTCGCAACGGCTAAGTACTGGTCAAAGCACGTGAGGTTTGAAAATTTGCTGAAGGAAAAACGATCAAACAAAACAAACATATGGAAACTGATAGTGGTTGGTGAAAAAGAAAACGAGTGTAAGATAAAATTGCTGAGGTGGTCAAACCGCGTGTAATATTTTGCACTGACAACGTTACGGAACAATGCTGTGTTGCTATTTTCCAAAGGGTTTGTCAGATAAACGCATTATTTATTCTATTAAGAGTTTCTTTCTTGAATCAATCCTCCTCTATGATTTACTCCAAGCAACGTGATATGAAGTGAACTGACATATGAGCAGTTCTTACACTAAGTTATGGAGTGCTGCATACAAAACAGTTGTTTCTTAATAAAGGGGTAAGTTTCTAAAAAAACTGTGGTGCTACGTCGGTGGGAAAGTATAACATGTAATTTAGTGTTAACAACTTGTTGCTGGTGATGTCATTTATGCTTTTGTTCTCCACTGGATCATATATAATAACTAATCAAAACGCGTGTATAACTCAGCTTCTTAGGCGAAGTATTATAACACAAGTATTGATCTCACACTAACCTATAGAGCACGGCTCTTTTTTCATCTCTTTCTCGCTTCAAAACCAAATATTCATTGCTCTGCCCTTGATCAGTACAGAGCCCAGAATCGTCCACCTTCCCCAGATCATTCAGCATGGCACAGAGCGCCTTCATCACTTCTTTGGTTGTAGCTATTGCCTGGCTTCTCGCCTTACCCACTCCGTACAACAAGATAAGCCGCTGGTTACTCTCGTGTGCTGTGACATTCTCAGCAGGAATGGGAAAATGCTGGGCGTACTGTGCATGCTGCGACTTTTTGGGAAGAGTGCAAGTTGAATCCATGAGTGAGTTGTCTCTTTGGTCAGCGGTCAGAGAGGACGGATTTGCCAGGCCTGGCTCAAGTTTTGTGTTATTTGCGACAGCTGGTTAAAAATAAGAACAATAACCAAAACAAAAATCAACCATTTATCATTAAAATTAATTTAATATCAATACAAATTTAAATGCAAATGTTTTTCGTGCTAAAGTGAAAATTAGATTGTAAAATAACTGAGATATAACGCCCCTAAATGCCCAATTTTTTTATCCACAAGTTGAGGTAATTCTTTGACATGCAAGGTTACCATAGCAGCAAAAGACTAAATTAAAAGCCTTAATCAAACTTAAATGTGCACATAATGTAAGACCGATTTCAGCGGCCCCCATTTTGAATCACTGTAAACATTTCAAGATTCACCTATCTACAGAGTTAAACATTTACTAGGAGGGGTAGAACCACCTCAGTTTTCCAATAATTTAATTCAGAGAATTGTTGATAAAATCTTACCTGAAAGGTCAGCAGTTAGTATCGGGGTTTCCTGATCTGCAAAAATTTCATTATCACCTTGGTCAAGAAGTTGTATGAGTCTGTTTTGATGTACCAGCAGCTCCTGATCTAGAAGGTGCTGAGACATCTTCAACTCACTGTCACTGCTGCTGTCCTTACGGCCAAGATCTTCTTGGCAGGTCTGTGGAGACGGGTAATAAACAAAATTAGTGGATATCGCTCACGGTTGCTTGTAATTATTGAGAATTTTTATAATTACTGGGCTATTTTTCGTTTGTAGTGTTCACATTTAAGATCGAGATTTGCAAAGTTTGAGATCCAATTGACAAAAAAAAAAAAAGTAATGGATTAAAATGGACTACTTCTCTTCCTGAATTTTCTGAGGTTTTCAGAAATAGGTTTGTACTCAGCGAGAATGCTTAGAGGGTGAGTTAACAAGGAAACTAGGAGGGGGCCTTTTATCGAAGGGGAGGGGGAGAGAGAGCTATAATGGGATGTTCTAAAGTGGACAAGCCTTTACCTAAGGGGATGGGCGGGCTGGGGGGGGGGGAGGGGGGGTCCGAATTCCCCTGCCATGATCACCCCTATGCGAAAGGGAAATATCGGTCAAGAGGCAGGTATATGTGAAAGGTGTAATAATGAAAAAGCAACTCACCAGACCATGGATGTCTATTCCCCCTTGAGCATCACCCTCTTGTACACACTCTTCAATGCCCATCGGATCTGCTTCAGGGGGGTGTTCAATGCTTTGTATAACTGGTCTTGGGGGAGAGGGGATGGAAACAGGTGGGGTGGGTTGAAGGTCCCCCCTTGATATGAGGGTACACATGTAAGAGTTGTGCGAGAACACTTCATTTCTGATGAGTTCGCCAAACAGGAGGGTCAACTGTGCAAAACTTGGATGTGTCTTGTTGTGTTGGTAACCACCATCTGCAAAACAATGGAGCAAAGTCATTACAACCAACTTGGTACAATAAAAAACCGTGTATAAGAAGGCGGGATTCTACTCTATTTTGGAAATAGGCGGATTGAGGATTTTTAGAGACACATGGAAGAAAAGAGAGAAAAACGAAAGACAGGAAGGGAAAAGAAAGGAAGGAAATTAGGGGACCAGAAAGAAAAAAGAAAATAAAGAAGTCAAGAGAAGAGACAAAAAAGAAAAAAAGAGAGGAAATCCTTAGGGAAAAGGAGGAAATGGGACAACGAAGCTAGCTTAGCTGCAAAAAGAAGAGTTCTAATGGCTTTCGGCCAGAAGTGAAGGTTACGTTTAGCGTATTATTCATATTACCCTTCCCTTTTTGAAAGCACTTTATACTCAAACAAGACAAATAGTGGTCCAAAGAACTACTCACCGACTACGGGAGCATAATTGTCCAGAAAATTCATCAACACCTTTTGGAAAGGTGGCACTGTGCTCGCAGCAGTAGTCACCGCGTTTGATGAAGTTCCTTCCTCTCCTTGTTCTTGAGAACTTTCTCTCTGTCAAACGAAACGGAACTAGTGTTATCGTTTTCTTTGTTCCTTTAAGTACACCGAGAAACGGTGGTTCTTAGTCTCGCTCGATCTTTTTATTTTCTCTGGCAAAGAACGTACTACCAGTCAAAAGCAAGTAACTTTGTTTCCTTTCAGGTTTCTCTCCTCATCTTTAACAACAGCCTACATGTATGCTCTTCCATTTGATTCGAATCTTAAATCGAAGGTTTTCGTCATATCAGACGTATGCCTTGAAAACCGGAAGCTGTCATCACTTACGACAGGACTGCCGTCAGCCGAGCTAAGCAAAGACACCCATTCTGCAAACTAATCTAGGAAATGAATTGGATATTTCTGATTTCGCGAGCTAGGGAAATATCTGATGGATCTCAAAATTGAGTAGATTATGTACTATGCAACAGCCAGCGTGCTTGAAAACTTTCCAACAACGTTAAATTTGTAGGCTGTACGCATCTTACCTCCTCCAGGATCTCAGTTTGTCTTCTTTGCAATATTTTGGCTACAGCTAAAGCACGGAATTTCCCCACTCGGTATTTACTGACGGCCCATTCAAACAACAGAAGCGCTATTGCCTCATCAGTAGCAGATGCCTAACGTAAAACAAAACAGAGAGAAACCAATAGCATGGGTAATAGGACACTAAGAATAATGTGTATTTACATAAATATAGCCAGCAACACTAGAAAAAAAATTCTTGCATTTTTCAGGGAAATCGTTTCGGAAAATTGCTCTGCCCAAGAACACAACATGGCGACTTGGCCAATTTTCGAACCCGGATCTCTCGCCTTGGAGACCAGCGCCTTATCCGTCTGGCCACTGCTTCCCCTTTTACGTCTACAAAAGTGAAAAATTCTTAAGTGTTAACACGTACCTGTCCTCCCGTTTTAATTGAATCAGCAAAAATCTTGCTGTAAAGTGAGTCAATGGAACTTGTTGAATCTGCTCTGTTGAAGTTGTAGCGGTCAAGGATTTCCAAAGTGTTGAGCACTCTCTTCACAGCTAAAACTGAAATAGAGAGGGCTAAAATAAATAAAGAGAATTAGCCGTGTAGTATTGAGCTGTGGATGAAGAGGGTTTAGTGTTTTAATTTACAATTAGCATTCAACTATAAGCATTCTACCACAAATTCTGCAATCTGATTTGCTACGCTACTCGCATAGACAGTGAGTTTGGTGAGTAGGCTCACAGTGTGCAGTTGATGACAAAATAAAATCAAAACACAAGCCTGATTTGTTGTTAAATTTTGACCTAATAGCAGATATAAACTGGGACAATTCGATAATGGGTCGAGATTTCTATGCGTGACATATGACGCAGATAAACTTTGACTACTCACAAACCACTCACAGTTTATCACGGATCAGACAGCGAGCGGCGCAGCGTAGCCAGTCAGATGAAAGCATTTGAGAAAGACCACTTATAGCGTTATGCTAAAATTACATATATTTCTGACAAGCTCAGAAAACCATGAACACCAAAAAGTCTTGCGAACTGATATTTTCCAGAGATGTCTGTGCCAATCATAAACCAGATAACCAAACACCGGGCCCCGTTTGTTCGAAGTGTGGATAAATAGCGCAGTACGTTTTGCTGACACATATCCGCTGGATGGCATCTACATTATATCTGTTGGATAGCGCCACATGCTCTTTGAACAACTGGACCTAGATAATTTAACTTTAGACATTTCCAAAGACGTTAAGGTATTCACAGGTTTCTGATACTTGACAGCAATGAGTACATGCATTAAATACGTGTCAGGAAATTTGAACAAAACATTATTACGCGTTTATAAGTGTTGTTGTTGATTTTAGTCTTTGGTTCAAAAATTTTATTTTAAATAATTTCAAGGTCTCAAAATGAAACACAAACTCCTCCATAAAAAGGGAAAAAAAAATAAGTAATTGCACATTCATGTTAATTTGAACACAGCCATGTTAACGATTGCTCCAAAAAAAAAAGGAAAATTGTCATTCATTTTAAAGTCCAAAGTTATAATGACCCACGCAAAAACTTGTTAAACTCTTTCTACAAAAGTGTATCTTAATATTATAATTGAGTCATAATTTCAGTTATTATGATAGTCTTTATACAGAAAGCTAGAGGTGCACCAAAAAAAAAGGTCTTTTATGCATTCATTTATTCCGTATGACTTTATATAAAGGAGCCTTTCCTAGAATTCACATTTTGGTAATCAAAAAATAACTTCGTAATTGATATTTATATTAAAAAGTAGTCTATCAATCATGATCATTTTTTTCAGTTGCCTAGATTATATCACATTTAAAAACTTAGATTTAGAATTTGTCCAAAACCGATTTTTTGTTTATTGTTCATCAGTGCCTGAATAATAAAAATTAACCATTATATAAATGAAGCAACTGGAGGAAATGGAGTTAAATTTCTAGAGTTAAGTATAGATGTGGCTTAAAGAAATCAAATCTCAAAGAAACGTTGTGCATGCTCTAGGAAGTAATTTCAAAGTAAAGACTATTAAAATGAGAGTAGCCATGTAGTTCAACCAAATGGCAAACATGCAGGTTACAAAGTGATCATGCAATTATTTTGTAAATGCTAAAAGAACAGTTAGTGCTTCAGTCAGAGTACAGATGTGTGACAAGAGCCAACATTTCCTGCTTTGTAATTAAAAGAGATGGAAACCCCAAGACACCAGTACATGATTAATGATTAATGATCTTCCACACATGCGATCACTGTGCAGTAACTCAACAGTTGTAGTCATCACAGAGAGACACAAACAAGATCGTCGTACAAGGACACTGGGCAAAGATTAACCGAAGTGCAAGGTCCATTTAGACAAACGCCACAGGTATACTACTGTGCATGAAGTCAGGTAGAGTCCTGTGGTGACTTAGAATCAAAAGACCAAAGGTTAACAATCAGTTCAGATTCTTTCTAACTGCCTCAGTCTATCACTATGTTAGAATCAAAGAGTAGTTCTGCTAACTGCATGACTGATGATATATTGTGCCCTGTATAATGTAGTTCAACCCTTAGTCCCCATAGAGTAACTACAGCCGTAGCATCTACAGAACGGTGTAGTTATCCCTTACAATGTCACCCCTGAATCAGAGATTACGGTCATAAGAGTAAAGGAAATGATCACCAACTAAACAAGCTATTGATTACTACACAAATTCTCATTGTCAGCTCCTTAGGAAATGTATAGGAAACAGTGTGGAGGATGTTCAGACTGATACTAGGGTGTAAAAGATTACATCTTAAAGTTGAATTGTGTGAGAGAAGAAACTGATTAAGGTAAACTGTTATATACAGTTCCATATTTGTTCGAAAGCCTTAAGAACGCTTCATATCAGCAAGGTTAGTTTTTCGTCCAACTTAATCGATCTTGATCTCTCACAGAAAATAAAAACAAATTAAACAAATTGAACTCTCCTTAAGTGCTGTTAAAGAGAAAATCCCTGTAAAAATTTCAGATACACAAACATTGGTTGAAATCCTTAGCATCTACAATCCTCTACTTAGCTTTCTGATCTGAAAAATCTAAAAACGTTATATCTACAATGACTTTATCTCAAGGAAGAAATAAAAAAATGGAGTTACATGTACGTGAATGATCAATAAAGAAAAAAATTATTTTGATACTGTAAGATATTTTTGTAAAACAAAATACAAGCACAAAGCTGGGAGAATTACTGCACAACACTGTACAGTTGTACAGTGGTATATCCCATGGTATGGTGCCTATTTTGTGTATGTAATGCAAAATCTATTTCAACTCCAGAAGAGTCTGTTCAATTTACATATTATATGGCTTGCTTAATATTTAAGACAATTTAATCAGCACAAACTATGACTAAATGCAATTTTATGCATAAAAGTATTAAATCAACTTGTTAGAGCGTCACTAAGCATGTTAAAGACTTACTCAGTTGAACAGTTTATCATGTTACATTACATTCAAAGGCATGTGGTACTACTGAGTTAAAACGTCTACAATAAAAGTGAATGATAGGATGAATGCACAGTACATGTGTTTTATTAAACTTACAATGGCTCAAGAAAGGTTAAGAGATATTGAGAGCTAGCAGTATTTTACTTTTAAAAGCAATAATGCATAAAGGCTGTAGACAACAGCTATATCTGCAGCTAAGAACTAGATGTAGAAGTGTGCAGTGAGTGAGCATAGTTACGAAAAACAAATTCACAGGGGAGGTGATGAATTCCAGGTGAACAAACTAATCAAAAGTGCATGAACTGTACTAAAAAAACATTGAGACATTCACAGAACTCTTTATGTATATACAGTTGTTATAATGAAAAGTGCTGTTCCTATCTTTTAAACGAGTGTCAATGTACAAAGCTGATGCTTAAGTTTTAATTACAGTAATTGGTAGTTGTAACTATCGAATGAAATTCGATAAGTACACAAACTGAAACAAGAACACAACAACATAGATGTACATGGCTGGATGACAGAGTGATGAAATAAACCAAAGAAACTTCACTACATGTACATTGTACATATAAATAGTTTACAGGAATAAGACTTCAATGCTAAATTACATGAAAACATCTACCCCACAACTTTACACACCTGCAAACTGTAAAATTTTATGCATGGAGAAATGTATGTTTATTATAGCAATATTTAAAAGTCCAGAAACATTCAGTAGATTGCTTTCTCACCTGAAGATTTGTCTTGGTATTTATCTGGAGACCAGTGAGATTCAACTGCCTTACTTCTTGTCTTGATTTCTTCCTCACTTGCAAGCAACACAGATAACAGCTGAATAGCACACGTTGAGAAAAAAAGTATTTCAGTTTTGGTTACAAAGGAAAACATGAACAGTAGAGAGTAACTATTCATTTTGCTTGGTACCAACCTCAGAATTCAGGGAAGCCTGAGTATTTCCAGGTGATGGAAGAGGCATTGAAGATGGTGGAATAGACAGCCTGTCCAGTGGGGATCCCAACACAGCAGGTTTATTAGCAGCCATGTCTGTGTTAGCTACAGTTGAGTTGCTTGCACTGCTTGTTATGCTACTGCTACTGGCCCCACATGGAATTGAGTTCCAGATCAGAGCACCAGGGCAGCAGATTGCTATCGTCTGGAGAACTGAACTCAGTGACAGGACAAGTGCATGATGCTGTGGACATGTCTTGTACTGTGACAGCACAGGAAGAGACTGAGGATTCACAGGAGTCAGAGATGAACTACCAAAAGGAGGAAAAGATGGGTGGCAAAAAAACAGTCAGCATACCTCTGGCCTATCTCCCTGGAGCTTATCTAAGTTTCAAAAGAAATGACTGCCTTGTTGGGGGCATCAATCCCCTTGGAAGGATGCTTAACTTTCATTTTTCACCATCACCCTCATGACACCCATTTTTACTAGTTCTGACCCTTTCTGTGATCTTACCAATGCAATATTGTGGCTTCAACAATCAATGAAAAGATTTTCCTTTGCCCTAAAAGCACATACTCTGGTGTTACAAGTGAAGGCCAGTTCAGATCTAAAGCCGTAATCAAGTACTGTAAAGCTTCACACTGGGAGCAGCAGAAAGTTTCCAGATGTCAGGCATTTAAATCATTATAACACTCTGACAACTAATGGACAGCTGTCAATTTTAGTTTCAATTAAAGCTGGTTATGCAAAATATGCATGTAAAGTATTATGACTTGATCAACATGTAAGATGAGGAGTAGGTGAAACATAGTGTGTATCTACGATGTATATGTAAACTTAATTCATCACTACCCCATGGAGCTTTTCAGGGCCAATACAAACAAATTGAGAAATTGTGAACTAAAGGAAGTCTTAGAAACCCAACTGGCAGGAGGCAGATCAATTGGCTATAAACAAAGCACAGCCAATGAGTTGAGGTTGGGGCAACCGAGAACAAAACCAGTGAATAACAGGCTTGAACCCAGCATCACCAGATTACCACCCCAGAGCCCAAACAATCAGTAACACTGTCGTGACATAGATAATGTACCTCTCTGGAGTAATGGATGGAACAGGACTGGGCACAGATGTGCTACTTGTCTTGTTTGAACTGCTTGTTCCTTGATTCTGTTGCTCAGACTGCATTTGCTCAGCGGCTGAATACAACGTTGACAGCTTCTTGGAACACACTTGGGCAAGAACTCTTGCAAGGGTTTGGGACATGACTATCTGATCAACATACTGAAAAAAAATTGGTGTTAGGAAAATTAAAATCGGGCCTGAAATACAAACACTTTTTTTTTTCTTTTTTTGTGTGCAAGCCCCTTCCAAGCCCAGCCAAGTGTTGGTTTTTTTGTTTCATTATTTGAACACTTCACCTGCCTCTCCTCTCCCCCCCCACACACACACACACAAATCGAAGTTGCTTTAATTAGTCAAAAATTGAATCAGCGGAGTTTACGAAAGACTGGTCAAAACCTCTATGTAATGGGGAAACTCCCTGAAAGTTGTGTGTGCAAAAAATGAGCTGTTAGAACAAAACAGAAACCAAACTGTACCCTTAGTAAAAGAGGAATAAGGTATTTTAGCAACAAGTCATCTGCATTCTTGCTTTTGTCCAACAAATCCAACAGCCACTGAAGAAATTCCTGTCTGTCAAGAAGACTCTCCTAAAAATTGGCAAAATAACAGTATTAGTGTTTCACTTACAATGACATAAATTTCAGTTGATCTGCTCATGAAAATCAAGCCAACAAATTACCACTTTAACTCCCAGAAGTCATTAACAGGTAACTTCTCCCCATAATAACTTAAGATTATTTAAAAGGTCATGAGATTCTTCAAACTTACCAGATCAAAGTTATTATCTTGCTTTGACACCAAATTCTCATAACTTATTTACAAGGAAATGTGTAGCAGGTAGAGGGGAGAATTAACAATCAGATCTTGGGAGTTAAAGGATTAAATGATTCTGAAATTGTAGCAATTGCAGAAAAGAGGCCTTCAAAAATTCAGGCATTGTCATGATTCAAACCTGTGCCTCCCAGATTCTAGCTAGGCCATATTAGTTGGGTGCTGGTAATAGTGTAAAGGTAAGAAATCATCTATTTCAATTTACAACAGCTAATGCTAATTTTCTGCTGTAAGGATTGCAATTAAAAAATGCATTTTATCATGAATTTCAAAGTCAGTTAGTGAAAATTACATGTACTTCTTCTTTAAAGTAAATGGCACATGTTCTTGTGTATACATTACCATCTACAATAACTCAATTAGTGGTCTAAATCATTCATCCTGTTTCACTTGTGAGGGAGCCTGAAGTCACAAGCCTAGCTTGTTGTTTTTGTTTTCTAATAAAACAAGTACATACATGTACACCCATACATGAAAATACAGAGAGTTGTAAGTCAAGTTTCTCACCTCATAAAGCCAGTGTGAAAGTCGCACAGTGTAGTTCCACTGTTTTAGTGCTTGTTCTACTTCAGGCGTCATTCTCTGCTGGTGTTGGGAAGAAGTTATGCCTGCAAAGTGGCTTTGATAAAAATCTGCAATCTTGCTTAGCTGGTCCTTCAAGAATTTTGTCAAAGCATGAGTCCATTCTGAAAAGATGCAAGATGACAATGGGGTTAAAGAATACATCATCCAGCAAACAGGTACTGAAAATGCTCAAACTTATCAAGCAAAGCACAGTAGAAGTTATTCTCTTGATCTTACACCAGATACTTGTAACTAATATACAAGGAAATGTGTAGCAGTTAGGGTTAGGGAGGAGAATTGACCATCAGATCTTGGCAGTTGAAAGGTTACGCATGATCTTTACAGCAATTATGGCAAGCAGTAAAGCTTGCATTCACAATTCAAGATCTAACTGTCCTAACTTCACATACAGTACAGAACATTAACCCTTTCATTCCCAAGGTGTAAATAGTGCAAACAATGTAACACTATAAGATGCGGCATGAAAACATCTAGGCACCATTCCTACTGTAATAACAAAGGGAAAGAGTGAACCACTTAGGGTGTTTGTGATAGGTATTATAATTATAGATAAAACTTTCAACATGCATTTAGTTTTGCCAGCCCCTGTTACTGTTGATGTAGAACTATCTATGTAACTAAATGGAAAATAATACTATCATGGGGATCTTTCTGAAGCTCAGTAGCGCTCTCTTGCCTTATCTAATACTATGTAGCTACATCTAATAATAACTACAATTAAAATAACCTCATACAAACTCCCCTTCTTCCTTTTCCCAAAGCTCCACAAAAATTTCCCACATTGAGCTAAAAACACTTGGAATGCTGCTTTTAATGCACACTAAAACTTGTTATTACTGACCATCTCTTTGTTGCTAACTTAGTAAAATTGTCTTTTTAACAAATTTAAGTCATGTACTTATGAGCGCACCTTGAGCTGGGTCTGCCATGATTCTCTTTTTGCCTTTGGACTCATTGATACCAGTGTTGTAAGCTGATGATATCTTGATGAACCAGGCTGCCCTTAACATTGGAATGGAGTGATCACACAGACTGCTAAAGATTTCTTCTTTCTTGTTGAAAATTGGTACCTGAAAGGACAATTATTTCAGTGAAAGGTTCTGTGCAGAGCAAGCAGTTAACTAATTTCTCCCTTTTGGCAGATACTTGTAGGTAAGTTCTTGAACAACTGTTGCAGTTGTTTCAGGGAACATTCCAGAAAAAGCTGGAAACTCCTCAAGATAAAGAACTCACAAAGTACTTTACTTTAATTTAGAGATTTTTATTAGAATTAGAAAAATAATAGTCTACCAGAAAAACTTCAGTTTGAAAGTAAATTGCGCTTTAAATATTTTATACATGCATCTATTTACACAACTTTGTAAATCATAGTCTGAACTTTACACCTTTATCTGTGTTTCATACCCAGTTAGAAAGATTTAGTCGATATTTTACATTACATGTAAATCCTTGCCATGTAAACAATGTTTTGTTATCTGTAGTCTACACTTCACATTATCTGTTCACTGTGTGTACAGCTATATTTATCATCTGTTGAAATTTTGTCAAGATTTTGCTCCCAACTATTTTTAATTTACCATTGATTCCCATAGAGATAATATTACATCAGTCAATAAGAATTTGGTCTTTAGTAATTGGTTTTAATACCCTTGCTCCTTAATTTCTGGAGATTTTCTCCTCAATAAAGGCACATGTACAGTACATGGTCTATCTACTGCACACTGTGCATAAATTGAATACCTTTATAATCAAGTACACAAATAAAAAATAATTATACACACACTGTACACTGTACCTTCTTTGCTAAAACTGTCAGCGGTTTGTTCCCTGCCAAATCTTGAAACCATGACGAGATGAATGGCCTAGAGCGAGCAGTAATGTGTACCTAGAAACATGTTTAAGAGTTTTACTTAGATTCAGTTGCAAACTTTCTAAACTACAGAAACCATCCTCAAAGGTGGACTGCAATTTAAGTAATTGCTTATTACAGTTGGAGTCCAATGGGCTACTACCTCATTCACACCTACAGTTGTGATAACAGGTGATTGAATTATTTAGGGAGACTGCCACATCATCAAAGGTTAAAAGAGTGTTCACTCACAGGCAAAAAGTTATCTTTGACTGGCTGTGCTTTTCTCTTGCTTCCATCTTGGGATGTGAAGGTATTCTGTTTCTGTTTTTCTACTAATATGGCATTGAAACTTTGGGCAAACTATGGTGAAAAACAACAAACATTGCATCATTTTACAGTGTAACAATAAATTAAAGAATTTCTTGAGTTAAAGAAATATTGGATAGTGCTATATGTATGAAATAAATTTTCTGAATAAGGATAAGCACAGGCCATTTAAATAGAAGCAGAGAATTCTGTGCTATAGCCTGGGAATTTTGCAATCTCTATACAAATGAGTGCTCTGTTCCTTAATTAGCAAACATGATCCAAAAGTTTATTAAAGGGGCAATTTCACAATTTTAAGATATTGTAGAAATATGGTAAATTTTGTACTCACTTGTCAAACAAGGAGAGATATATTTCTCACAAAATCTACCATTACTCCTAAATTTTCTTTAAAACATCAAAAAAAAAATTTAACACTCCAGATCTTAGCAGACTGTGCACCACAATCACCATAGCTGCATCTAATACATGAAACTACTCGCTAAGTGGGTTGAGCATCTGATTTAAAGGTCTGAGATCTGAATCCTTCAAGGGAGGGGGAACAGGGGGAAACTGATGGCTTTTTTCCTTTATTGACCCTTCATTCACTTCATGGAGTGACCAAAACAAAATTTTTCCTTTCACTATCAAAACATTTTCAAGCAAAAAGTGATGAGAATTAAAAAAGAAAATTCAGCAAGGGACAGTTACAGATTTAAAGCTAATTTCTCAAAGCTGAAATGAAAAGAAATGTAGACCAGATGGTTACAGGAATGGATACAGAGACCTTGTGGGTAAAAGGGCTGATGAGAATATCTAGAATATACCTTAACCCTTTAACTCCCAGATCAAATTTGTAATTCTCCTCAATGTCAACCACACAATCCTTATAATGTTAGTTCAGAGAATTTAGTATTGAATCAACTTATTATCCCCAAATTGATATTTTGTTATATTCTTATCACTTATCTGGTTGACATTGTATTGATATTGTAAGGAGAAATTCTGTCTTAGTCACTCATGGGAGTTAAAGGGTCAATGTACAACAGTAATTCAACATACAGAGTTAATACCTCAGGGTTAAAATTTTTCTCTTCATTTCAAATCTTTTTTTTTTTATTTTTAAGATAATCTCCAGAGTTGAAAAATAAAACAGGAATAAAAATAGATGAGTAAAAAAAAAATTAGAACGACGACATCAATGCACAAAATGGGACTAGAATATGTAACTTGATATGGTTAAGACAGCCTTGTATCATTATCATCCATCCGAATACAAAGTGAAAAAAAATAAGTTCTTTTTATCAGTGACAAATCGATTAAATACCTTTACATAAAACTGCGAAGCCACTATCTATTATAAAGAGAAAACCGCAATTTGCGAGGTCTTTAATTCAACAAGCACCTACAATACCTTTGACAGCGGCACATTAGACATGATATCCTTTGCTGATCCATACTGAAAAAGGAAAATATACATTCAAGTTTGCATCTATGAAGCGATCAACTGCATATGTGACGACAAAATGTCAAATCATACTAACCTCGTTTGTCCCCGAGCTAAATGGAAGCGGTTGGTAGCTAAATCCCTTTTTGACATTTTCTTCGGTGAGCTCGTCCTGTCGAAGAAATATATTTAAGTTGTCTACAAAAATGAAGTTCTAGCGTTTAAATTTCGATTTAATTGTACCTCTCGCTGTTTACTGTCTTGTGGATAGACATCAGGCTGCCCCAAGCGTGGTCTTTTCAGAGGACGAGGTGCCGCCATGTTTTGGATCAAGCATTCTATTCACGCCCGCCTTCCACTGACCCCGCGGCGTTACTTGTGCGATCACGCGTACTTCACTAGCAAAACGAAAACAAAGATGGCGGCCGCCCTAAACGGTTTTCGGAAGCTATGTGTTGGTGGCTTGCGGTCTCAAACAAGGCTTTTGCCGCGGGTATGTAACGCAAGTTTTCTCGAATTTCTTGAAGAATCCTCAGATTGTCATTAATCGTTGTTTTACGCGCAGGTGTTGGGTGTAAATGGCTGTCAGCATCAGCAGAACAGAAATCTGTCGCTACATGAACACTACAGCATGAAACTTCTTCAGGAGGCAGGAATTCTTATACCTCAGGGTGGTGTGGCTAGGACACCTGAACAAGCTTATGAAATAGCGACTACTTTGGGTACGTAATGCGCGAATATGAGGGTATATTGTGTCTTTTACAGCGAATAATTTCACTGGTATGATATATACACATCTGTTTACTTTGTTTTTATTGGTGTCTACAATTTAAAAACAGTCTAATGCTACTTGTATGCTACTGTTAAACTCGGTGTGGGTAGTGTAAAGATGTCCTAGCTAAAAAAAAAACTATCAAATGACAGATCTGAACCACAGAGACAAATATTACCATAAACTCTTAGAACAATACAGCTCTTGGTACGGATATTCACAAACAAATACGATAATTTTTTCATAAAAAATGTTAAATTTAAAAACGTAAGAAGAAAAAGTCAAATAGGAACTGATAAGCATTTAGATTTCCTCCATATTATTGCAACAGTTCTAGAACATATGCTTCAAAAACTGTGTGGATCATAAGTTAATTTCCAGAACCCACAATTGTGGAGGCTCAGTTGAGTCATGTTTACATTGATGTTTAATCCTTTTACTCCCAAGATCAAAAAAGTCTATTCTTCACACTATGTGCCACAGATTTCCTCTAATTTCAGTCTTGAGAATTTATTGTTCAATCAGACAACATCCTTTAGTTGATATTATTACACATGGACTATGCAAAGCATTGGAACAAATAATATGGGGATTCAATTTTCAAATTTTGAAGTGTGGCTTTGGGAGTCTAAGAAAGGGGTGCTTCTTATTATTGATGGCTGAACAATTGGCAATTGGCTAAGGGAATGACATCCAGTTATATGGTTGCATGTGCCACAGAATGGCAGGATTTGTATGGGTTCTGGGAGAACAGGAAAGTCCTGGAATTTTATTTTGACATGTTCTAGGACTGGAAAGTCCTGAAAAAAGACTTCAGGTCCTAGATAGTCTTGGAAATTAGCCTAAATCAAGCAATAGAGTTTTCAAAATCCACAATATGTACATTTCAAGAAAAATGTACTATGTGTAGACTGTAAATATAAATTGATTGAGAAAAAAAAAGATTTGTAAAAATTTTTTAAATTAATCTAGAAAGGAAAGGGTTTAAGGTGAAATTTGGAGTCCTGAAAAAATCGCTCTGAGTCTTGGACAAGTCCTTGGAATTTTTTTCTGAAAAAGGTTATGAACCCTGTTAATCAGAATTTAAACCACTGATGATTCCCTGCTAAGAATTTAATCTTTTTTTAGGAGGGTGGGAATTACCTATTTAGTTTATTTTGTAACCTTAAGTGCGACCCAACAGAGAAAATAATTATAGTCTGAACAGTGTATCCACAAGTTCAACAATTGAAAGTAACCCTTTGATGTGTTCTTTTTGTTGCCTTCTGGATGAAAACATACTGATATTGTTAGGAGATATGCTGTTTTGGTGAACTACTGGGAGTTGAAAGGTTAAAATTACCCTTGCTGGTGGAGATTTAGTAACGTTTTGTACATTGTACATTATTGTGATTTTACATTAAGTCCAGGGAGACAGGATGTCAGGAAGGCTGGTCTTCAAAGATAACGCAGGTAGATGCATAGTTCACATTTGAAGATTTTAAGGGTGTTATTCTTGAAGTCTTTGAATGCGTCTTGTTTAGCCAGTTTAGTGTAGTAAGAGAAAAGGTAAATTTTCTATTTAGTACAGGTGTGTCCTGTCTCTACAAAAGCTCAGTTAGAGCTAGTTAACTGAGTGTCAGAACAATGTGATTTAGTAATTCAAGTGGCATAAGTTGGTCATGTTTGGTCAGAAACTGACCAATCATGACCTTGAACTTATGCCATCACTCTGACAAAGGGCTAACACTCAAAACGTCAGCTTTTTTACTCTTTATGGTGGCTAATTTACGTTTTCAACTCCGTTGTTAACACTAAATTACCTGCTATGCCCTCCCACTGACGTAGCACCACAGTTTCTATAGAAACTTACCCCCTTTATTCTTATGCCACTTGAGTCCTGTAGTCAATAACATCACAGCTAAATGGACCAATCAGTTTAATCAAAATGGACCCAGTACATGCTACTGACAACAACTATTTACTTGACTCTGATGATAACTTCTGCTCAGGTGGTGAAACGTTAGTCTTGACAATGGACTACACACACTCATATGGACAATCAGATAACATGACTACAATGATGTTTATGTAATTTTTTGTTCCAGTCTTGCAGATAACCTCAAAATTCATGTAGTTCAGCTGAGAAACAACCCACATGCCTATTTTTCTTAAAACTTTTTTCCTAATAAGCCTAAAAACCCTGTGCAAAATTACTTTTCAACCATGTTTAAGGTTTTAACTTCACTTCTGAACTTGCGTCTTGGTTATTTTCCAAAAACTGCAGCTTGTATATGAAAATGTGCTAATGTTTGCTTCCAGGTATTGAAAGTGACTCTGATCTGGTAGTTAAGGCACAAGTCTTGGCTGGTGGGCGTGGAAAAGGAACATTCGAAGGAGGGCTCAAGGGTGGTGTAAGGATTGTGTTCTCGTAAGTTTTGAAAATTGTTAAACACACTGTACTTTGTTGTTTTTATTCTTGGCCTAGTTTTTTTAGCTCAATGCTCTTCACTAAGATGCTACCAAAAAATGTACTCATCTAGTAGGTGTAATTTTTTAACAGGCCAGATGAAGCTAAAGAAATGGCATCAAGGATGCTTGGTAAAAAGCTCTTTACAAAACAGACTGGAGAGCAGGGTCGAATATGCAATGATGTGAGCAAATATTTTGTTACAGTATAAATTGCTTTTAAAATAGTTGTTCACTTAACATCACCTATAAAGAAACAATAATGTGTTACAATGGCAAGCAAAAAAACTTGCAAATCTTGTTTACATTTAGTTTCAACTGTAACAACCATTTTGACTAGTAAACTAGTAAATCTAGTTATTCTTGTAGCAGTAAGATAGGAAATGCTGCCATAGAACCCAACATGTCTAAGCGCATTGTTGTGATTTATCTCTACCTTTGTTTAATTCAAGAACATTTTTTAAAGATTAATCTAAATTGCAGGTTTATATTTGTGAAAGACTCTATGCCAGAAGGGAATACTACTTTGCCATTGCCTTAGAGAGAGCATTTAAGGTACTCCAAATGTTTCTTGAAATTAAGTGTTATGTTTTTATTTTGACGTTATTATCATGGCATCAGTGGGAAAACTTTAGTTTATTAGGATTGTGTGGTATGTTTAAAATGTGATGTCTTTGAGTCAAATAAAATTATGAAATGCCACAAATGGAGATTCTGAATTTAGTCCATTGATTACTTCACATGTGCTTTTGTTTCATCATCAATTTTTCATTCATGCTGTCTTTGTTTATTGTTTCATTCATTTCCTTGTTTGTTGTTTCATTCAATTCTTTCTTTGTTGTTTCATTTTTTTCTTTCTTTGTTTCTTCATTAAAAAATTTGATTTTTCTCTTTCACCACATTATATTTTATCTCCCTTGTATGCAGGGACCTGTTCTGGTTGGTAGCCAGCAAGGAGGAGTTGACATTGAACAGGTTGCTAAGGAGTCTCCAGAAGCCATCATTAAATTTGGAGTGGATATTATGCAAGGTTTGCATCATATAATTATAATATTATGTCAAAATTATATCAAACATTACATGTACTGCTGCAGAATAACATGAAAGTAATTAAGGACTATCATGAAACCTTGTAAGAAAGGTGCTTACTCACCAAAAAAAAAATTATTTATTATGAACTCTCAAGATTGGGAAAAATCAAACCGCATTGTGTTTCTCATGTTTGTGAAGAATTTTGGTCAAATGTTTGCTGAGATGCAAGTTGAATGGGCTAAACTGGAAGTAATTAGGGTGGTGTGTAGTTTTTCTTTCGTCAAAGGATTACGATAATTTATTTGTCCAGAACAAAGTTAACCCTTTAACTCCCTGAAGTGATTCACATGTACCTTCTCCCAACAATATCTCTCCACCATCCAGCAAGCAGGTAATGAGAATACTCAAATGTATCTGGTAGAAGTAATACCAAATTCTTAAAACTGATGTACATGGAAATGTGTAGCAGCAAGAGGGGAGAATTAACAATCAGATCTTGGGAGTTAAAAGGGTTAATTACATATCAAACTATTTTGAAATTTTACCTTACTTTACAATAAACAAAATTTTTTTACATCATACTGGACTGCCTTGGCAGGGTTTTAAATGATTATTTGGGTTCTTAACAATTTTTCCCCAGGATTGTCAAAGTCTGATGCTCTGGAATTTGCCAAAAAGATGGGTTTTAGTGAAAGCTGTGCAGATCAGGCTGCTGATTTCATTGTGCGACTTTATGATCTGTTTATTGAAAAGGATGCCACACTTATTGAAATAAACCCCATGAGTGAAGATGTACTAGGAAGAGGTTAGTATCCATCAAACTAACTGGAACCTCTCTCTGCAGCCACACTCTGTTAGCATCACACCAGAAAACCAGCCATTTTCCCAAAATTCTCCACTCTTCCTCATGTAGTCACTTAAAGGAGGAGCTTGCTCTTAAGGGCAACCTCTTGTGGGCATTGCAAGCATTTTTAAAGTTATTTATCTTGTTTTTTCTTATTCTGATGTCCTCTAGGCTATAATGGGGTATCACATGATCCTTAACCCTTTAAATCCAAAGATTGACCAAGAAAGAATTTCTCCTTACAATACCAAGACTATATCAAGCAGACAAGTGATGAGAATAAGAAAATATATCAATAAGGAGATTATAAGTTGATTCGATTTACCAAATTCTCTGAGCTATCATCATAAGAATTACATGGCAGACAGTAAGGAGGTTTACTACGGAAATCTAGAGAATGAAAGGGTTAAATATGTCACAAACAAATATTGTAAATTTAACACACTACAGTGTGGCTGAGACTTTTTTTTTTTAGCCTTCTGTTTTTGATTTTCTTCTGCACTCATTCTGATCTCCTCAATATTTACAAAGCAGGATAAATACCCCAATGGCCCATAATTTGTAAACCACTCCTGTTAGTGATCAAGAGAGAATTACTCCTTACCATATCAATACAATATCAAGCTGAAAATTGATGAGAATGAAGAAAAATATCAAGTAGAGGATTGTTGGTTGATCCAATACCAAACTCTCTAAACTAATAAATAGAGAATTGTATGGCAGACAATAAGGAGAATTACTTATGAGATCATGGCAATGAGAGGGTTAAACTGGGGTGGTTTGACTTACAAACACTAAAATGAAGACTTTTTTAAATAACCTGTAAAAGACACTCATTTTCTGGGAAATACCTTTTTTCCTTTAGAGTGCATTTGTACCTGAGTGAAATTCCAGTTGGAATAAAACTTTAAGCTCGTTTTTTTTCTCGCTTGAAATACTCATTTGGGGGCAACAAATGAGGTAAAATTTGTATTTGATGAAGGATTCTCTGTTTCAGTTGTATGTATGGATGCCAAAGTGCTTTTTGATGACAATGCTGAATTTCGACAACCAGAAGTGTTTCAACTGAAAGATTGGTCGCAAGAAGACGAGAGGGAAGTAGAAGCAGGAAAAGCAAATCTGAACTACATTGGACTTGACGGAAGTATTGGATGTCTGGGTAAGTTACAGCTTTTTCTTATTTACTGGGTGGGAGGTCAAAACTGTGCCCCAGATCCTGAGTACGGCCGTACTCAAGACCAAGGGCACAATTTTAAACCATATGGACCGAACTAGACCAGTAAACAACGTATATTTGTTTCATTTCCGTTGGTTTACTTTTTTCAGCCGAGCCGCGAATGGCGCGGAAAATAATTCCGTACCAAGGTCCGTTTTGTAAAAAGCTCAACCCGTTAGAGGCGCGTGATCAGCCAATCAGATTCGAGGATTTAGGATTTTGAATTACAATATTAACCTGGAGCACTACCGTTATGTCGTGGTTGTACGGTGTTTATTCAACGGTAGCTTATATTTCAAAGCCTTCTTATATTACTGACAAGAATTGTGGTCACTCAATTGTGGGCACTATGCAAAATAAAAACTTTTTTAAGGTCTAACTTCTCGCTTTTCGGCTGAGATAGAATCGTAACTGAGTGGCGTGCGATATGTGTAACAGTGGTGTAGATACTTACATGTAGTTTTATCGTACTTGTTTTGTTTGTTTTTTTTGTTTGTTTGTTTACAATGCGCGAATAAGAGACGTTTCATCTGAATGAACGCCGCGTTTTTTCGAGGGCGACGTCAGAGAGTAAATACGGTATCATTTATAAATAATTATGGCGATCAAATGATATTTCATTTCAATAACGTGAACTCTTTCACTAGTGAATGGCGCCGGTTTAGCTATGGCGACCATGGACATAATCAAACTACATGGTGGTGAGCCCGCAAACTTTTTGGATGTTGGCGGTGGTGCAACAATACAGCAGGTTATGGCAGCATTTAAGATCATCAGTGACGACAAAAAGGTACCATTACGTGACCTGCTTGTTCACCAGTAGCTTCTATAGATTTTTGTAGGTCGTGAGACTATCGCAAAATGGTAAAAAGCTATTATTCAGCCATAATATTTTGTGTTTGCATCATAACGGTGTTCTAAAAACCCAGAATAGGCTTTGTTTCCACTGTGATGACAGGTTTTCTACGATTATCAGTTGAGTTAGGTGCGTTGAATGATGGGCTTTGGAACCCAAAATTACGGTGTTGTTTTAAAAACTTACACCCCTTACAACGAATTTGTTTAGGGTAACCCTTAAGCTGGAAATTATAGTAACCAAATGATTTTTTGGATGGATTTTATTTAGGTCCACGCAACTCTTGTGAACATCTTTGGTGGTATAATGCGCTGTGACGTCATAGCGGAAGGAATTATTGCTGCAGCGAGACAACTGGAACTGAATATTCCTATTGTCGTACGATTGCAAGGTACTGTCTGCAGTGATCTTCTTAAACTGAAAGTTAATCTTTAGGAATGCATATTGATCTATACGTTAGTAGGCTTTCCTTCATTTGTTTCTCTAAGTCAGCTGCAAGATTGGGGACGAATCTATAATCTCCTGTCGGTGTAGGAGACCGCAATCTTACCACGAGTCTGCGTCGAACCGTGGTGAAGTTGCCATGGTTGCACTTTAATTTGGGTGTACCTTTCCAGCTTGCTTCATTTGTCTTTGTTGTCCACTGATTGAAAAGTGATGGCAGCAGTGCTTTCAATAAGATTTGAAGAAGGTGGCTACCTCGGTAAAGCACCCGCCGGAGAATTTCCCTCGTGTTGTCCCATTCCATTCCATTCAGAATAGACTGGCTTCAGTCAGAGTTTTCGGTGTTAAACTTCCGTAGATGATCATTAAATTTTCGTGTCCTTTATACTGATCGTTTTATTTCTGATCGAAATCTTCCATTTGCTGACATGCAAGCCTGCTCACTGAGTTTCACACAAAAAGTCCTCTGAAAGGACATATGGTGACTGGTTACCGAAATATGAGTCAGAAGATGTATGTTCTTGGAAACTCAAAATTTATTTTTGCTGGAAATGTATGAAATGTGTGCTGGAACATAGGATAAGACAATGTCAATCATTTTTGTCGAAACTCTTTTATAAAGGTAAAAGTCGACTGAAAGAACTCGACAAGATCTCGAGGCGTTTTGGGTCTCACTTCGTGATTTTGCTCGAAAGCTTCCATAGTATACCCGGCAATTCACAACAGAATACCCGCCGGAGCTCCGGCAGGTGCCAGGTTTTATTGAAAGCATTTTGGTGGGGAAACCAAAATAACGTTTTGTACGCCTTTTTCATCACGTCTCATCCTTCAGAAGCAGAAGAGGTGTCCGTAACTACACTTTTATGTTTTCACAGGTCTAATTTACTGAACCTATATATTTAATAATTGAAAAACCTCTTCTGATGAGATCTAGATGTGTCCTATTTGTGTTTACTCGGCAGGAACTCGAGTGGATGACGCGAAGGCTCTCATTGCTGCTAGTGGGTTAAGAATTATCGCCTGTGATGACCTTGAAGAAGCTGCTGAAATGGTAAGAGTCTTTACTTTAAACATTAAGAGAAGAGCACTACTTTGCAGTGATTTTACTGAGCTTCATGATACGGCAATAGGAAATTGCAACTTATAGTGTTTGTGAAAGTCAATATGATGCAAATCGCTAATTATTGGCGTCTTTGTCCGTTTGTTTCCAGGTTGTCCGCCTTTCCAATATTGTTGAACTTGCCCGTAGCGTGAAAATGAGGGTCAATTTCGAGCTGCCCATCTAATAAGATTTGTCTTACTTTGTTAAATAGCATTGTTTGATATTGAATTTAAAGTTCTATATTCCACTAATGCTAAAAGGTTTCAGTAGCTATATCTTCTCAGTTTCACTCCCATGTAAACCGCATTTGAGGGATGTCGCACCAAATTCATGTTCAATGACAGAGAATTGTGAGTATCAGTTGCATCTTCTGTAGACCCCTGAATGCGCTCATTAGAAGAAGATACAATTTTGAATGCCGATGTAATTATGCATTTACCCGTTTTATTAAAAAGCAAATATATTTATGCTTGTCTTTAATTGTTATTGATCTAGCCACGGGAAAAGGTGAAGTGTCTTTTCTTTCAGTTTTACTTTTAACACTTAAAACAACCACAAAGATAAGACATTTGAGAAGAAATCTGGTAGAAGTGTTGTTTTCCCCCTTGGATTCATGGGAGAGTCAAGGGAAATATTGTGTTTTTAAAACGAAACAAAGAATAAGCACATTGTAATGGTTATACCATTTTCCAGCTAACGAACAACTAAGGTGACATCGTGCATAATATTACCCGTGGAAGGAGAAAAAAACTGTCATCTAAAACAAAATGATCTAATGATATTGCATCATGTTCTCCCAATTTTCCTGAAACATCTCTGGAGCAGATTGCAATTTTTCAAATTAAGGAGGGAATAATTTGTGTTTAACTGCCTTATTCTGAGACGGAAAGAAAAGTAATCCCATGTCTTTATTCGGAAAGCAAGAGTTTATCCTAAGCAATATTTTTACGATTTCATGCGTTTGGTGGCTGTAATTTGTATTAGCCTCCAAATCTTTGGGTTGTGCTTACTTGATTCAAAGTACAGTGGTGTGAATTAACGGCACATGCAATGAGCGGAGACTTATACCTAAGAAATTTTGTCCTTCTTAAATATTCAGTTTTGTTCGTTCGAGAGTCTGTTCATGCAGCTTTAGGGCGACAAGGTTGGGAAATTCATGGAACTGTAACTTTCCGTCTCCATTGACATCCAGAATGGAAAACACAGTCTTTAAATCAGCCTTTGTCATGCTAATGTTCATTTTCTTCAGGCCTGCGATAAAATCCTCTTCCACAATCGTGTCGCGCTTACCAGAAAGCTCTTTGAACATGTCCATCATTCGCAGTCCACTGTTGCGGGCGAAGCGCACAAATACATCCAATGGCGAGGCTTTTTCTGGGCTCATAAGGTCCCTAGCTTGACCTCCCTGGATACTTATTTGCCAGGTGCAGTTAAAGTTGGGCCTCTTTTGGATCACATCTTCCAGCTCTTTATGACAATCTCTGTCAAGAGCCATCCCCTGTAGATGAAGCTCTTCGAGGGCACTCTCGTGATTTCGGCGAATTGCTTTTAAGAGCGCATGCACACCCTTACTCAAGTACGGATTATTTCCAATGTACAGCACCTGGAGAGTCTTGTTTCTTTTCAAGCCCTTCGCGATGATCTTTGCCTCAGGCAGCCGAATTGACGTGTTGGTAACATCCAGATGCAGCAGTGACTCATTTGCCTCGAGTGCAACTCTCAAGGCTTGTGCTCCTTCCCCAGACAAGCTATTCCAAGAAAAGTCGAGCTCCTTCAAAGTGTAACAATCTCGAAGGCCATTTATGAGATCCGCTGCCCCTTGGGCGGTTATGTTATTCCATCGCACATTAAGAAATTCTAGTGAACTTGTCTCGCACAATATTGAGCCTAAAGTAGCAGCTCCTTCATCGTTTAGGCAATTATGGCTCAAGTCAAGAACTTTCAAGTAATAATTTTCTTTGAGTCCCTCTAGGAGAGGAAGAATATGGCCACCATTTCTGCAAATGTTTGAAACGTGTAGCTGTCTAAGTGAAGAAGTGTTCTTAAGCATACGCTCCATAGCTTGGCTACCTTCGACACCGATATCATTTCCAGAAATGTCAAGGTCAGTTAGAAAGCAGTTCTCCTCAAGAAGAGATGCAAGGCCTTGAGCACCTGTTTTGGTTATTCCGTTGTCATGAAGATTTAACGTGGTCACTGTTATGTTTCGGTTTAGAGCATGGCAGACTGCGAGCAACCCCTGATCTAGGAGACCATAATGTCGAAGGTCAACTTTAGTACTTCCCATTTGTTTAATGAAGTTTGATGCTGGAGGTACTCCCAGCTTTTTACAAGCTGCTAAGTATATCTGCTCTTGAGAAATATTGCTGATTTTCTCTGGGCATGAATCTTCCAAGTCTGTGTCCCAGTCTTCGTCATTGGGCAGCTCCGAATTGAAATCGGCCTCACTGCCAATAAATTGTCCTGATTCTGGTGCCTCGTCCATCCTGACCGAGGTAACAGAGGAACAGGAATACAACTTGAATAACAAAATTCGCTCTAAGTTGGTGATAGCGATAAAGTTCCTTTACACGACTCCTCTTGGATTACAAACTTGCCTATGCTTAAGAAAATTAAGAATGTCAATTATTGTTGTTTTTGAATAGTGAATACTCAACTTTTTTTCTTTAACTCTTGAATCAACCTAAACCAAATGCGCCTAATCAACTGAAGCGCACGTTTGTTCGCCATAAGAGTAATTCACATAGAAGATATACTTCTGTCGACGAAACGGTTCAAACAGCTGTAAAGAGAGTTGTAGCTACACGACGCAGAAAGAAAAAAGATTGGTCTATTGTATTGGAGAGTTTTAAAATATTTAAGCTATTTGGTATGTGTGAAGTAATTTAAAAAGAGATTTTCTATGTTATCCTTCCACCTTTTTCTTGTGGTTTCGCACTTTTCCTCTAGAAAGCGTTATCTGTAAAAGTGTTGTATTCATGTGTTTGTTTCTGCAAGCATCTTTGTCCTTACTTCTCGCGTCGCAAATATGCTTTGCTTTCAATAAAGGTCGTTTCTAATGTGATTATTTGATATTCCTAACGTTTTGTATTGAAAATGTTATCGAGAATCTTGTCCCTAGCTTTAACAGGAAAAAATACTTCGGTGGACAATAATATGTTCCAGTGTGAGTAAACCACAACCAGTTGACGTGTTAATTGGGATTTTCGTGTCAATATTTTAAATATTGTGCAAGGACCGAAATACCCTGATATTGCATGGTAAAAGGAAAATGATATTCAAGTGACTTTTTTAGCAGATCTTCGTTTGCTTTGTCTCATCTTTTTCTTCTAAAGGAACAATAAAGGTCTTGGAAGACTCAATCTCCTCACCTAAGGTGTTTTGTTATCCTCAGTGCTTCGAATTGTTATTATGGGTGGTTTTGAAGGAGCTTAAGTTCGACGTGTGGTGTTTCACCTGGAGGTCGTAGAGCATCACTCAACGACGAACCCAAACCCCTTCAAACTCCTTCATTATAACAGCCCTCAAACAAAACGACGGCAAAATACCATAGCTATGGTAAATCATGATTTGAGTGGCATTTTTTATTTGATCCACGTAGTTATAATACGTCGCAAGGCTGTTTTGATATATGGTAAATACCATAGACAACGTAAAAGGTGACAAAAAATCGAAATTACTTTCTCAACGGTAAGAAGAGACAGTTACACCTAGATTGAAGCATCTGTAAGAAATGCCGGTTCTATCCTTTCCGGTTTCGTTGTAATTGCAATTTACTAGAAAAAATAATCAAAATGAGGTCACATTTGTTTACGCGTTTATTTGTTGCCCAATGAAACAATGAGTGATGAGCACTCAATTCTTGTGCGGACACAAAGCAGCTTGATGGACGGAGAATTTTATAATAAATACTATTGATATATTTCTTTGATTTCTTAACATATTTTTTTGTTATTAGAAATCATGCCCCATATAACTTCTACCTATTTTGAAATTTGACCATTACGAAAACCCCCAAAATGTTGGTTTTTTGTCCTATTTACATACAGTAAGGTGTCAAGTGCCTATGGAAAACGCTTACGAAACATTTCTTCTCCAATGCAGTCCACAAACACACTATAAAGTCTCTCTCGTTACGATACCTAAAAAACTGGGCAAAAGTTGGAATTAGAAATTTAGAAACCAAATCATAACAAATTGGTTCGTCTATGCATGTATGAACGTTATAACAGCTAAGTGGCTTTCTTTCAGTCCGTAAAAATCACGATAAGCACAAAATTTACGCGAGTTATGAGCAACAACACGAGCCAGTAAGAAGCAGTGTTTAAGACCGTACAAGAGAATTGGTAATTTTCTTCGACCGTATTATTCTTTGGATAAAGCTTAAAACAAAATGCTAAATCAATAACGCACTTGTTAAAAAATTTATGAGTTCTATTTTTCTCTCTTTGAGTCCATGAAAGTTCAATTGTTTTGATTATTTGTCAATGTTTTGGGCGTATTGTTTTCCTTAGAAATTTTGCGCGGGAAATTGGCGCGTGTGCGGCCAAAAATTGATCCTTTGCGCATGCCCAACGTTTTACTGCAGTGTTCTAAATTTAGTCTTGATTATCAGCCACTTTTCGAAAAATGCACCGGTACTTCCCGGAAGGAACTTAACGGGAGGATCGAGGACCGAATCCGAGAAAATTATAAATTCATTGGATTCCATTTCAGCTCGGTCCTGGATCATTGCTTCGTACTAGTAGAGTAATGGTCGCTCCAGTCACGTTGGGTGTCCTGTGGGGCTTGCAAAGAATAATTACCACGGCTACCACAAGAAAAAAGGCGGCGAAGCCGAGAACTCCTGCCACTACGGCTATGGTGGTGGTGTCGTCTTTAGGTGAGGATGACACTGCAAGGTAATCCAAGACAAGTGAGTCATAAACTAATGCTGAACTCGCTGAATGAACACGTCACTTAAATCAAACTATCGAAAGAAAGCATCTTGTAAGTTTCTCTTGGGGGAACAAGTGAAAGGGCCTTGGGGAAAGCCAATTCGTTCGTCAACTTTTGGCAACGATCTCATCACCACAGCCAAAACAACCAAATTTAGAAAATCCAGGTTGATACATGATTAGAGAAATGAGGTCGCGTACGAAGGAAGCGTTGAATGAATGAATTAGTAGATGTGTACATGAATTTCAAGAAGAGAATAAATCAATGAGTAGATGAACGATGAATGAATATGTGCATGCATACGTCAATGAATGCGTAAATGCAAGGATAAATGATTGAATGACTGCCTGAATGAATAAATGAGAGAATGAACGAATGAACCAACGGACAGGTTGGTAAGAAAATCAGCTGTCAAATGCATGAATCGATGAACGAACAAACAAACACACCAATAACAGCAAACCAAGATGTTATGATTAATGACACGTGAACCATGGACTTCGTCGCCTGACGAAAACTGCACTATAGAAGTCATAACGGCGTAATCAGTACAACTGATAGCTTCACTCTATATCGTGAGACAAACGATAAAATTGCCATTTATCGAAAAATAAATTCCTAAGAGGTTAAATTGTATTGCGAATATGGAGCAGAAATTTCACCAGGTTCTGCTCTTAATCAAAGCAATCAGCTCTACCTGAAGGCTCTTTTGGTTGGGAGGAAGAAACTATTATGGGTCCCACAGCCAGATGTTGTTCAACTTTTTCTTCCGTGACTCGCCTTTTCCTCTTTTCGAACGGACATCCTTTCGCGCAGCGCGAAGACTCATCAGAATGAAAACAGGCCAACACTAAACAATGGAGGAAGATTTCTTCTGACTTTACGGGGCGGAAGTGAAACGCACCCATGATGAAACGCTGAACAGATGACAAGGTGTAGTTATAGCGAAGATTGTTGTCCTTGGGACACCTGTAATGTGATGAAAGTTCCGTCAATACACGAACCGAAGTGGTTCAAATCACCGTTGTTTATATCTAGGTACTCCCTTAACTGGTCCGTCGCTCATTAAAGTGGTGCTCGGGTACATTTACCATTCGGGGCTGCATAATCCACTTTGAGGAGTAGCATTCCCCCTGTTCTAAAAAGTTTCTTTAAAAATTAGCTAAATACTTCGGTTGAGATTCTAACGTTGAAAAGTGTCTTCAGATATACATTCTCTCTCCCAGAGCTTCTCCCAATTTCAAGAGAAAAACCCAGATAACAAGGTTACATTCTACAATATCTATATGGATTATATGAACAACTCCATTTTGAAAACAACTCAGTAAGCGGTCAGTGACGAGCACACAAAAAACAGCAACGCCAAGAAAAAAAAATGTTTGAGTCAAGGAATTTCATTTCTTGTCGCTCGTACTTGTTCGCAGGGAGATGAAAGAAGAGGAGTGATCAACAGAAAGTTCATATTTACGCTTTAATGGCGACGTCTTTCGAATATTTCTTCTTAACTTACCCATCCTCTAAGAAAACGAACTGCATCTCATCATCATAATTAGGTGTGGCTGTCGCCTTGCACTCATCCACAAACACAATAACTCCAGTATCATTTGATTTCACTGCCACCTGAAGAAAAATGTCTGTTCCTACGTCTACTGGTCCAACAGGGTATTCTGTGTAATGCTCACGGAAATCTCCGGTTTTGAATAGGTTCATCTCGAACGTGAAATTTCCAAACGACTCTGTGAGATGGAACAAAACTCGGAATAGTAATGAATCTTTTCTTTCTGAAGCAGCTATAGTACTGTAAATTTAGAGGGCGTTTCGATTGAGTCTCATGGTTTATTATTATCATGGTTATGCAATGTACTAGCATTCCATGGGGAAATGAAAACTCAAAGCGAATTACAAGTAGACAGTGGAAGGCGTGGCAAACGTCGTTGGGTTAGACTCTGGCATCAGATTGGTTGAGAAGATAGCGCAAGTTTTCCAGGCCAATCAGAGCGAGTTAAGAAGTAATTCTGGATTACGTTTAACACTGAATTGAAAAATGACAATTTGGAATTCTGGACGATGATAGAGAAGGAGGGAAAATGAAAGATTTATTGCGCAGAAAAGTGGCCCCGCACGTTTGTTTTATAACTTCAAGTGTGCATTTCCTTCGGTCACATGCAAAGACACAATGCCGCGATGGCCAATTTTTGACATTCCATTTGGAAATCAACTCTGCTCACTCTGACGGGGTCATGGGAATGTGGAAGACAGAGATAAGAGAAAGAGAGGGGAGAGAGGGGGTGGTTGAACACCATCAGAGTTGTGCAAAGCCCCATTGAACACTCGCGATATCCTCATAGGTGATGGAAGTAAATTTTCGATGGAAATTTGGCCAGACGATGCAATCGTGATAGCTTGAATTCTTTAATATCTCTACTTAGTCTTTCTGATACTTACGTATATCACTGATCACCAATATTTCCGACGGATTGAATGAGATTACGGATAACAACGCTGTCTTCTGGTAACGACATTGGAATTCAAACACGGCCAGGTGGTCACGTGACGCATGCAAACCCAAGGAGCCTCGGCCCTTCACAAGGGCTGTTATAGCGTTGCGATAAATAAGCATTTTACCGTCTTGCGAGACATTCCATATCATTCCACATCCTTCGAGCGTTGATTTGATAAATATGTGGCTGCTGTTTTGGAAGGAAGGTTTGCAAGATGCGTCGTTGAGGTGGACGGTTTCTGGATCGTAGTTGAGGTGAGATTTGATGTGTAACATGACTTTGATTTGGTCTCTGTCGCACTTCACGTCAATGGTAAAGTCGTCACCTGATAACGTAATGATATTGGCGGTGCCTGAAAATCTCTCTTTTTTTAACCCTTAAGCTTACGAGTGACTACTATCTAATTTTCCTTACACTGGAGTAGTTTTTCAATGGGCCATTTTACAGTTGTATAGTTAGTTGCCAAGCCTTTAATTTGGATTGAGGCTGAAGCTGACCTTGTCGTGATAGAGACCAGTTTATCTAGTGAGCATGATAACAAAGTAATTTACTTTCGAAAAGCGGCAACATTTGTTTTATAACTAGGTCAAACGTAGCCTCACTCTTATTAAGAGGCTTGGCAACCACTCTCGCAACTATAAATTAGACTATTGACTACCCTAAAACCAAAACCAGAGTAATCACAACAGCCAATCATTACAAAGGTTCGCGTCATCGTTAGCCAATGAGGACTGATAGTAAAAACAAGCGGTCTACCAAAAGCGCAGGAAAACGCGGGCGATCAAGTCAAGCTGACTGGTTTCTGTTTGGCTTCTGATTAAAGCAAATTAGCAGATTAGTTTGGACACGCAAGTGAAATTTGCTTTATTCCTGCTGAATCAAACATCATGAGGCTATGAATGAAAAAATGGGAAACGATCTTTTAAACAAAATAAGCTTTTGAGTTTTAAACGAATTCTCCGTGTCAGTATCAGAAGAAATGTACAGAGGAGAAGGTAAAGAATATACATGCTGATATTGAGGTGTTAACCCTTTAACTCCCAAGATCTCATTAGTAATTCTCTTAACTGTCTGCCACACAATTCTTATAATATCAATTTGGAGAATTTGGTATTGGATCGACTAATAATCTCCTAACTGATATTTTTTTTTATTCTCATCATTTCTATGCTTGATATTGTATTGATACTGTTAGGAGAAATTCTCTCTTGGTCACTCATAGGAGTAAAAACATACATTTTATTAGCATTAAAGAACGGAATATTTACCTGGTTTTGTTGTTGTACTTACGAGCAACGGCAGAGTTGTAGGTTCCACACTCGACTCTGAAGTTTAATGAGGTTGACTCAATAACTTCCCTCGCTATTTCCGTTATCTTATTCTGCCTGTCACCTCACTTTTTTCCTCGGGCGGGAAGGGGGGGGGGGGGGGTAGGGAAGGATGCACCTCAGAGTAGTTCAACATTATTCAAGACGATGCATTATGAATAATGGTGACAGAATGTTGTCAATGCATATTGATTAAGCATAATTCCAAAACAGTTCTTTTAGCTTTACCTAAAGAGAAATAGCGAAATTCAATACACTTTTTCTTTTGCAAATCGTGTATCCAGTCTTCTTGATTCACGCTAATTGTGAAAACAATATTTTTGTTTTGCTTGGCAAAACTTACATTTTATTAGCATTAAAGAACGGAATATTTACCTGGTTTTGTTGTTGTACTTACGAGAGACGGCAAAGTTGTAGGTTCCACAGTCGACTCTGAAGATTAATGAGTAACAACAGAATCAATTTGGAACAGTAACTTTCCATCTTCGTTTTAAAATTGATGATTTGGAACCTAAGTCCTTCATGTAAGGATTTGTAAAAATAAGATTAAGCATTTTTAGAGTGGATGGGCGTTACTCTAAGGCTTTAAGCCTCCTTTGGCAAAGGAAAAGCAGCCTTGTGTTGTAGCGGTGTGTCCTATCTTGGAATGGCCCTTGGAAATTATGGAATAGATGGCTACTTATTGGAGGATATTGATAGTGGAAATGTTCAATATCAAATGAGTTTCCATTTCTGAATTGACGATACCCGCCTTTTTGTAAATGAGGTCAGCCGCACGCGACAGATTATTTGAGAAAACGACATTTTCGTATTTAAACTTGTTTGGTTTACAGGTTTAAAGTCATTATTTTGGTTGCGTAACATTAAAATTAACTTGATCCCCTCTCTTCATAGGCTGTGAAGTATTCTGAAGAACCCTCTCATTGGCAGTCAATTGGAAGTCGATTTTCAATAGTCCCCTCCCCTCCCAAAACCCTGTTAGAGAAGACAGATCCCTCTTCCGTTCCCCGTGTGATCTCCCAACCACCCCCCCCCCCCCCACAGACGACAAACAACGGCTAGTCCCCAGCCTCTTGCGTTTTTCCTACCTGCAGTACCGTTTCCACAGTACAGTAGAGCGCAATGGCTAGTCGGCGACAGCCTATACACATAAAAACCATTGCACCGCTTTACTTTTGCAGGGCTGGACCATTGGCAACAAACACCCATCCAACTGAAACAAACTCTTCCGGATGAAATTCCCCCAACGTTCGCTGGATGGGGCCCGTCGTACCAGCCAGGGGAATGGGTACTACATTGGAGTGGCTTGACGCAAGACTCTGGCATCTTTGTCCCAGCTCCGCCTTTAAACCTGTACCAACCTGGAACTAACTTTCTGTCGCACTTTCCATCCTGTAAGCCAGAGAGGCGGTTGAACTGAGAACGAGCAGAGTCTTGAAGCTCTTTGTACGTAATGCATGGATCGTTAGCTGATGAAACGTTGGGTGAGAAAATAAACGTGTTAGTGTGGAAGTAATCTTATTTCTAAGCAAGTCTAAAGAAAGGACCCTGATTATCAATGGGTGGAGGTGGGGGGGGGGGGGGGGAAGGGAATGTCGGTTGTATTACAATCCAATCCCCGGATCCTCAATAAGGCTTTCAAATATTCTTATGATTCCTGATCCTCCCTTATTGGCACTTAACTGGCGCTCAATTTTTTTTTTATAGTCCCTCTTCCATACTCTGTTGGCAATGACCGACCTCCTTTTTGTTTTACTCTGAAAACCTAATGATTCCCCCCCCTAGAAATCTTCCATCCCCCTCCCAAGGCCGAAAATAACGAGTGGTCCATAATCTATTTACAGTGACAGAGAAATTTGAAAATTGCTTTTACTTCTGGGGTGTCTATGGAAATAATTTACGCTGAGGGTTGAAAACACAAAACAAAAACAAAAACAAAACAAAACAAACAAACGAAAGAACAACAGCGACATGTCTACCCAGAGAGAAAGAAAAATGTTATTGGATCTAAACAAAAATCTAGAAATATGGATGACCCGGAGAGAAGATTACTGAAAGCAGAGGCACACAGGTTAACTTCTATTTAAAGTCTAATGACTACTTACACCAAGCATGTTAGTCCCAAAAAAAACACCCCAAAAGTCAAAAAAGCACTCAAAGGATTAAGTGTTAATCTGGGGCCTTATCATTTTTTCATCAGCCACATGCTTTCGAGTTATCCGCAACGTTTTAATACCCAGATTTACAATTTTCGTTAAATCTTTTCGAAAGCAGCGTATGTGCGCTTATACAAAATTTTCGTTTGTATAAATTTCCATCAAATCTTTAATGGTAGCTGGAGCCGGCTGGGCTGGGCCGGCGTTTTGTTGTGTAAAAAAATTACTCAGGATGCACATGATGAAGGCGCCCTTCCAATTAACTGCTACAAAAACAAAAGGAAAATTTTGCATATGGTCAATTGAGTGGGTGAAGCGAGCCTGTTTGTGTTTCCTTTTAGCGATTTTTATAAATAATTGCGAACATTAGATGCTAACGCTAATAAAGCTACTAAGCGACACTTTGATTCGTCAGTTGACTTCCCAACGAAAATTGTCATAAAATCACACGCTGAAAGAATGTCTTGTTGATTCATTAAGAATTTGTGAGAAAAAGACAGTTTTTCTTGCTGCACTTTAGATATAGAATTAAACCAAAAGATTATCAGTTGAATGAAAATCGACTGTAATTCCGTCGCATTCAGATCAATAGGAAATGCTTATTTTATGATCTCTTTGCAAAACCCTTGGGCTCCTAGCGTCTAAATATTTTATGACCTTTAAGTATGTTTGGAAAACAGAGTTGGTGAGAATTTCGCCAAACTGAAAGCTTTTTGAATAAAGAACCTGCCTTCGCATTGTACGTGGGTTTAAAGCTCTGAGTAAAATATTCTGCCTCTGAAATTTTTCTCGGCAAATTTTTTTTTTCTCGACAAAGAATCAAAAACCAAACGCCGAAAAAAAGGAAAAAGTGCAAACTGATTAGGCTTGAAAAACTCAAAACCGAATTTTGTTCAAAAACCGAAAAAACCGATCTAAAAAATTGGCCCAACCGCAAAACCTTAGGTCCTCCTTTATAAAGAGTGGCTTTCCAAAAATATAACAAAAAAATTGCAACGCGTTCTAGCCTTGCCGTTAGGAACGTTCTATTCAGGAAATGTGAGGCATCTGTACGATAAGCTCATCACAAAAATTCTTTCACCGCTTTAGTCGGACAGACAAATCCACAATTTACAAAGTTTGTGGTCACCATCCCGCTCAAGTTTGTTATTATTTGTTATTAATAGACTAATTTCCATTTTATGAATTTGAAATACCCAGGAAATTTTTGTTCAAACTCGGGCCAATTCAAACTTTTGATAACGGAAGCCAAAGCGAGTAAATATTTAGTTATCATCATTTGAGATTTTCGCTATTGTTTTACAAATATTCTTTACAAGATTCACAAGGTATTTAGGCATCTCAGATGTCTTGTTGTTTTCCTACTGTTTGCTCGCGTGTCGAATCGCAGCATGTTGGCTCCAAAGATTACACTGTTGCAAAATGTGCATGCTAAACCTATAATTAAAAACGCTATTCAATAATTTATTGTAGAGACATCGGTCAAGACTGAGAGAAACACAATTTACATGTACGTGTCCAAGGTTGCCAAAAGATTCAAAGGTCAATGGAACTCAGTGGTAACTAAATCGCTCAACTTTATTCCGTCTCAATCTCGTACGATGTCTCACGCGAGAAAAAAACTTAAAGATTTAAATAAACAGAAAAGAGAACTAAATCAAAACGACTATTTTTTTTTTTTTTTTCACATGCGGAAAATGGTGCGGAACCAAGGAGTCTATTTTGGAGTGACTTTTTAAAGGAACAACAACATGTATGTGACTCGAACAACATGTATGTGAATCGTTTCAATTTTCCCATTACGAATGACAAAGATTAATTGCAGTCATTGTAATAATGTTGTCGCCGATTTGGCATTGGATTTGTGACAGTCTGTTGATCGGCTGTATAATTAAGCTATCTGTTTTTAAAAATATCTTACCCAGACAGCTTTGATACTTTAAAATTCCCGGATCGAATCGCCGTCTCAAATTTGGTTGTGTCGGATTCTATAATTTACCTAAATCGGCTTTAAAGGAATGACCCCGATCGGCTAAAAGTCCTTTCGCTATAGGGTACAGAAGTCCTTCAACAATATAGCGAGATCATTTTATAATTCCCGAGTTCGGAAAAGGTGAGCAATCTTTTCAACTGCTTAACAAATTTTAACTGGCCCTACTTCTCTTACTGTACTCAACTTTCCCTGATGCTATCGCTTTTTTCCTTGTTTTTCAAACCAAGCCAGCACATGTGCTTCTTAAGAATATTTCATAAGTGATAGTTTCATTTCAACTCCAATAAATAAAATTATGTGGTTAAAATCACTGCAAAATCGACATTTTTGGTTGCTGCGACCCGGTAGAGTCGTTATAATCAGTAAGTTACTTGTTGGTGATATTGGTTACAGGAATATTCTCGAGAGAATATTCGAATCCTAAAACTGTTTACCCTCTTCAGCTGCAGAGAGCTCGATAGCGAATATTTTAAATGCTGAGACGGAAGGAACTTGCTTTAAAGTTAAAGAGTTTTAAGGCGAGATATTATTCTACTTTACTAAAAAATGTTTACTCACTTGGTACGGAGTTGGACAGCTCACAAAACGATAGTACTATTCCGACAAGCAAGGGAAACATTGTCCCTTTTGAGAGAGAACTTTGAAAATTGCTTTTACTTCTGGGGTGTCTATGGAAATAATTTACGCTGAGGGTTGAAAACACAAAACAAAAACAAAAACAAATAAAAACAAAACAAAACAAACAAACGAAAGAACAACAGCGACATGTATACCCAGAGAGAAAGAAAAATGTTATTGGATCTAAACAAAAATCTAGAAATATGGATGACCCAGAGAGAAGATTACTGAAAGCAGAGGCACACAGGTTAACTTCTATTTAAAGTCTAATGACTACTTACACCAAGCATGTTAGTCCCAAAAAAAAACACCCCAAAAGTCAAAAAAGCACTCAAAGGATTAAGTGTTAATCTGGGCCCTTATCATTTTTTCATCAGCCACATGCTCTCAAGTTATCCGCAATGTTTTAATACCCAGATTTACCATTTTCGTTAAATCATTTCGAAAGCAGCGTATGTGCACTAATACAAAATTTTCGTTTGTATAAATTTCCATCAAATCTTTAATGGTAGCTGGAGCCGGCTGGGCTGGGCCGGCGTTTTGTTGTGTAAAAAAATTACTCAGGATGCACATGATGAAGGCGCCCTTCCAATTAACTGCTATAAAAACAAAAGGAAAATTTTGCATATGGTCAATTGAGTGGGTGAAGCTAGCCTGTTTATGTTTCCTTTTAACGATTTTATAGATAATTGCGAACATTAGATGCTAACGCTAATAAAGCTACTAAGCGACACTTTGATTTGTCAGTTGACTTCCCAACGAAAATTGTCATAAAATCACACGCTGAAAGAATGTCTTGTTGATTCATTAAGAATTTGTGAGAAAAAGACAGTTTTTCTTGCTGCACTTTAGATATAGAATTAAACCAAAAGATTATCAGTTGAATGAAAATCGACTGTAATTCCGTCGCATTCAGATCAATAGGAAATGCTTATTTTATGATCTCTTTGCAAAACCCTTGGGCTCCTAGCGTCTAAATATTTTATGACCTTTCATATGGGAAGTATGTTGGGAAAACAGAGTTGGTGAGAATTTCGTCAAACTGAAAGCTTTTTGAATAAAGAACCTGCCTTCGCATTGTACGTGGGTTTAAAGCTCTGAGTAAAATATTCTGCCTCTGAAATTTTTCTCGGCAAATTTTTTTTTTCTCGACAAAGAATCAAAAACCAAACGCCGAAAAAAAGGAAAAAGTGCAAACTGATTAGGCTTGAAAAACTCAAAACCGAATTTTGTTCAAAAACCGAAAAAACCGATCTAAAAAATTGGCCCAACCGCAAAACCTTAGGTCTTCCTTTATAAAGAGTGGCTTTCCAAAAATATAACAAAAAAATTGCAACGCGTTCTAGCCTTGCCGTTAGGAACGTTCTGTTCGGGAAATGTGAGGCATCTGTACGATAAGCTCATCACAAAAAATTTTTCACCGCTTTAGTCCCACAGATAAAAACCATAATTTACAAAGTTTGTGGTCACCATCCCGCTCAAGTTTGTTATTATTTGTTATTAATAGACTAATTTTCATTTTATGAATTTGAAATACCCAGGAAATTTTTGTTCAAACTCGGGCCAATTCAAACTTTTGATAACGGAAGCCAAAGCGAGTAAATATTTAGTTATCATCATTTGAGATTTTCGCTATTGTTTTACAAATATTCTTTACAAGATTCACAAGGTATTTAGGCATCTCAGATGTCTTGTTGTTTTCCTACTGTTTGCTCGCGTGTCGAATCGCAGCATGTTGGCTCCAAAGATTACACTGTTGCAAAATGTGCATGCTAAACCTATAATTAAAAACGCTATTCAATAATTTATTGTAGAGACATCGGTCAAGACTGAGAGAAACACAATTTACATGTACGTGTCCAAGGTTGCCAAAAGATTCAAAGGTCAATGGAACTCAGTGGTAACTAAATCGCTCAACTTTATTCCGTCTCAATCTCGTACGATGTCTCACGCGAGAAAAAAACTTAAAGATTTAAATAAACAGAAAAGAGAACTAAATCAAAACGACTATTTTTTTTTTTTCACATGCGGAAAATGGTGCGGAACCAAGGAGTCTATTTTGGAGTGACTTTTTAAAGGAACAACAACATGTATGTGACTCGAACAACATGTATGTGAATCGTTTCAATTTTCCCATTACGAATGACAAAGATTAATTGCAGTCATTGTAATAATGTTGTCGCCGATTTGGCATTGGATTTGTGACAGTCTGTTGATCGGCTGTATAATTAAGCTATCTGTTTTTAAAAATATCTTACCCAGACAGCTTTGATGCTTTAAAATTCTCGGATCGAATCGCCGTCTCAAATTTGGTTGTATCGGATTCTATAATTTACCTAAATCGGCTTTAAAGGAATGACCCCGATCGGCTAAAAGTCCTTTCGCTATAGGGTACAGAAGTCCTTCAACTATATAGCGAGATCATTTTACAATTCCCGAGTTCGGAAAAGGTGAGCAATCTTTTCAACTGCTTAACAAATTTTAACTGGCCCTACTTCTCTTACTGTACTCAACTTTCCCTGATGCTATCGCTTTTTGCCTTGTTTTTTCAAACCAAGCCAGCAAATGTGCTTCTTAAGAATATTTTATAAGTGAGAGTTTCATTTCAACTCCAATAAATAAAATTATGTGGTTAAAATCACTGCAAAATCGACATTTTTGGTTGCTGCGACCCGGTAGAGTCGTTATAATCAGTAAGTTACTTGTTGGTGATATTGGTTACAGGAATATTCTCGAGAGAATATTCGAATCCTAAAACTGTTTACCCTCTTCAGCTGCAGAGAGCTCGATAGCGAATATTTTAAATGCTGAGACGCAAGGAACTCGCTTTAAAGTCAAAGAATTTTAAGGCGAGATATTATTCTACTTTACTAAAAAATGTTTACTCACTTGGTACGGAGTTGGACAGCTTACAAAACGATAGTACTATTCCGACAAGCAAAGGAAACATTGTCCCTTTTGTGTCTGATATCTAGAAACAACTGGTAAAGTGTTGATCTTTGTCAAGCCGTCAAAACAATAGCGTGGGGGGTTACTTTATGTAAATTTCGCGTTTGGCGCCGCTTGCACTGTAAATGAATTAATTTCAATACCTCACGCAATCATTTGTTTACACTCACATCCTACAATTTTTCAACTTTCCTTTCTTTCTTGGGCTCAATGTAACAGTAATTTTTATATAACTCAAGTTATACTGTGAGTTCGAGTGGGTTGCTAAAATTATCACTAACTTAATCGACTCCAGCCAGCCACTTTTTTGCCCGGTTGCATGCCAAACAAAATTTATGCACATTTTGTCTGGGAACGTAACCGCAATGTCAACAGATATTTAATCATTTCAAACAGGATTTATTTTTCTTGATCAACATCGTTCCCAGGGTCCTCTCATGCTCTCTTTACGGCGTAGCCTGGAAAAGAGACTGACTCATGCTCCCTCGTTTGTCAGGCATTTGAGCGGCAATTCACGAATCAACGAGGTCGTAGACACTTCGTGCCTCGCCGATTTCTAGGTGAAAAGTTTTTCAATAAAGACTAAAGCGTGTTCTTGCAAGACAGGAAGCCTCGGCGCCTTGGACGATAAATTGTGACTTTTAATCGAGTTCTCTATTTTTTTTGCCCCCTGGCGGTCTGAGTGAAAAATGAACAGAATAACAAATGAATAAATAAATATTTAAATAAACGAATGAATGGTTAAACAGACGAAAAAAGCCCTCTGATAACCGTGAATTTAGCCTCTCAGTATTTTATGACAAGGCTTAAGCTCTTTTCGATTGGATGTCGCAAAACCAAAACTAAGGCCAAAAAAAACAGCCGATTAGAAAAAAAAATTATATAATATCTCTATATAAGAGCCAAACATAAATCCAAATAAAGATAACCCAACGACCTGAAGCGCTGGAAAACGCGGGCGGTGATTAATTTTAGTTCTGCGTCTGATTGGTCTAGAGAGTGGTGCGAGTTTTTTTTGACCAATCACATTACGAAGGAAAATGAGCCAACGCAATTTCGGAATATTTTTAACATTCGATTGGCCATTGCTTTGAAATTAAATGAAAAGTGCAATTAACTTTGCGAGAAGATAAGTAGACAGTAATGTTAATGTACTCTTGGTTGGTATTGTCTCGTCTCCTAGGCGCCCCCAAGAAGGTCTGGTTTTAACAGCATGTAACTTCTCCATACTGTTCTTTACACATTTCCTATGGAACTTACCAAAGGAATTTGTCTTACAGTCAAGAGCTTCTTGCGTTTGCGTTCATATCCTTTGCTCTCAAGAACTTAATGTTTGATTCAGAGGTAATACTGTTGGGAGAAATAAAGAGATTGTAAACTGGTTCATAATCTCTTGAATAAATTAGTTGCTAATCACTCTTCGGAGTTAAAGGAGTTGTTCCGTTAACTCACGTATCACTGATGAGGCTCTTAAGGCCATAGAGCGTGCGTGGGTCGAGGCTTTTTTCCATGTCAGCTTAAAGAAATAGTTGAAAAGCACGTAAAATCAACTTTTTTCTTTTTATTTAACAAATAAAGAAGCCTTGACCGTGTTATGTTCTGTTGTAAAGCACGCAGAGAGCGGCCAGAGCAGAAAGAAGCACGTCTCGTTTCCCCCCTACTTCTTGAGTCAAACTCAAAAATTTTGCTTTTAGCTTTTAAGTCTAAATACACAATTTTGAAATGAAATATTCAGTGAATTGTGGCTCGTTATGTTTGCTCGAGGTAACAGCGTCCGTAAAAGCTTCTGACTAATGAGGCCTTCCACTCAACGCATCGGAAAAAATGTTGAAACAAGCTCTTGGTAATTCACTCCAAGGGAAAACGATCAAATTTCTTGCTTCGTTGCGATAAACAGAGATCACCCTGATGAGCTAGCCGCGATGGACCACAGCTTGATTGCAGTTGCTCTGACTGCATGATTTGTATAAGTCCTTAACAAATATGCTAGTTTGCTTGTACCGAAATTTCACTTTCTATCTCCTTGTAGTTTGTGCTGTTACTTAAAGGTTGCTCTATATTAATTGAAGCCAAGAGTCGTTTTGGATCATTTAACAAAAAAATGTTAAAGAGAAGTCCAGGAAATGGTCTAATATTATTGTACAAATTGACAGATGGCGTAACAGCTTTGGCTCCGAGCTTTTTACTTTGATAAAATAGGTTTTTTAAGCCAATGAGAACGCGCGTCAGATCCGAACTTTGTTATAAATGCTCTTAAAACCGCCTCAATTGACACGAAAAATTTGACCTGCACTTAAAACTTTCATGTGAAATGAATGTAAAATCCATAGGCAGACCGTACCAAGATTTTACTATTACGAAATAGGTTGCTAATTTGTGTCATTTATGGACTTAAAGGAAATGAAAGAAAAAAGTTATTTGAAAACAGTAAGTAGCAATTTTCTTCAAATTGATTACAAAAAGCTTGAATCGGACAGCTGCAAATTTCATCGTAAAAGCACTTCAAAATTCCATTAAATTCCTTGAGAAAGGAGACAAGCAATAGCGCCAGAGCCAATACCTACAAGTGTTTTGTTTCTTATTCAATCATTCTCAGTCGCTGTATATCAGACATGTCCTCCCACCTTCCGGAATTCGTAATGTTTAAGAGCTTTATAGGGAAGTCAAATGGTCAGTCATCTTGAATAAATAATCTTTTGTTCTTGTATCCTCTGTCGAAGACCTATTCGTGGGCATATGACTAGGCACTATTTTTACGTTAAAATAGCCTCAAAAGCATATTATTGTCACCGTGCAATTCTAGTCTTAAAATCGTTTCCCTTGAAGACGGAGATACAGGTATTTTAAAGATTTAAGAACACTAACCATTCTTCCATCTATTCATCAGACATATCCATTTAGAGTTGACCTCACAGATGTGTCCGTCGTTACACATGTCTTTTGTTCAATATCATGAGCTTCAGTACAAGGTATGATTTCTAAAAGATAAGAATAGAAAGCGACCTTTTGTCATAGTTGATTATTTAAAAACGTGTGATTGTTGTTGTTGTCTTTTTTTATACGGATATATTAGTTCACTTTTTCAGTGAGTTCTTTAGGTTTGTAGCCCGCATTCAAAGCTTGGCAGCTGAACGATTCAATTGGAAATGTGACCTATCAGTCGCAAAAATTATCTGGGAATCTCTCAAAGCCAGACGATTCTTTAAGCCTCAAATGTATGATTTTGCTCAGGAAAAAGGAAAATGTCTGAGTCGTTCTGCCAGCCAGCCAGCCCTATCCCTCCGAGGGAAAAACGCTGAATGGTCAGGATCACTGATTTGGCTTGCGAGAAGAATTTTTCAGATCAAACTGAGGCAATTATAGGCTTAACTTATTGTAGACTTGATTCAAGTTTCTATCCATGAAGTTGATCGATATTTCAGGTGGCTTGATTAGTTGTTAATTTAAAGAAAAAACAAACAGAGAACGAAGCAAAAAACAAAGAACATTCCAATTCTGAGGTGTACAGCAAACCTTAATCGATTTCATATCGTTAGCAGCAAGGGATCATAAACTGTTTACATTCTCTTTCTTAGCAGTCAGACCAAAACGGTTCAAACACTAAATTCTTTGGTATCAGATACATCTTGTAGCCTATACGAGGGCACGCACCCCCCGGGCTTACAAAGTTTTCAATTAAGGCAATAAACTATTGTGCACCATGATTTCATTAAAATGTCTTTCTATGTACTTTTCTTGATGACCGAATTTTTCAGCAACTGACGTCTTTTTCCACCACGCTAAACATTTGCAAAAGATGAAAGATGGTAACTTTGAGCTATTTTTTTGAATTTATTCGCAATTACTTTCACTCATAAAAAAGAGACAATTTGTCTTAGCACGAGTACCGCAGCTACCACTCAGCGGGGGCGACGAATCAAGCTTCCTATATAAACATCAATTTACTATTATAGATGGATGAAAACAAGATCCCAGTGGAGTTTGGTCATTATGAAATTATAGAAGTTGTAATGGACGTTGGTTTTTGGAATAGACGAAACAACTTAGAAATGAAAAAAGACTATTGTTGCCATTTTCACCCAGAATGAACCAGATCTCTTACAAAGACAACGAATGCGATGGGAAAGCTATAAATTAATCATATGTTAGATTCACAGACACAATCAAATTGACTCATGACACAAAACAAAGATAACATTTGGATAAAATTAACATTAAAATTAAAAACAAGAATTAATTGTGGATAAAAATTTACTCTTCACAACAAATTAAAAAAAATCCTTGCTGCTAGAGGACTTTTTTTCCCTCCCTTTAAAATTGCTCATGTTTGTGTCACAATCTTTCCTACTATGTTGGAAAAAACACTATTTTGTCTTTAGCAAAGAACTGAATGATTTTCGTTTAATTTGTTGACAGTCATTAATAAGGTGAAGACCGGCAAGAAAAACTTAAAAGTTTAAGTAGTTATTGTTGTAAATATCCGCTGTTTTTTCCACTGCTTATTTAATTTTTCGGAAGAATAATTGATCCAAGAATCATCTTATAGAGGAATTGAAAAATTAATCACGTTTAGGAACATTGGAAAATCCCAGCGCGATTCAATCTAATTCTTCTCTCTTCTCAAGAGATCATAACGGGACTTACGACCCCTTGATGCTAAAAGATAGCTTCTTTGTAAGAAAAGCTATTACTTTATACTCAGGAAATGAAAAAACCAAAAATATTTTTAGACCAAAGTACATGCACTCATTAAAGTGCCGCGTTTCATCTCATCTTGAAACCACTAAGATGTTTTTATTGAATAAATTAACGATGCGGAAATGTTATTCACCCTGTTGTTAAGTTTAAAGTTAGCGGTCTGTACCGATGATATTACTTGTCGTGAAAAATAAATTCCAAAAACTTTGGCCACGGTTGTTCGAAGGTTAAATAACACGATCCACTGGATAAAACTTTATATGGTGGATAATGCTATACGTTTTGCTATCACTCATCCGTCGCATAGCAATTTATTCGTTAGATAGCGTCATGCAATCTTTATACAACTGAGCCATGATGATTATAGAAAGAGGTAACTTACAGACTGGTGACCCTCCAGTCCAGTTTTTTCTTTCTTCCTTCTCTCGCCCTTTCTCTTTCTATTTTTTTCTGTTTATGCCACCTCAACTGAACATGCCCTGGACTTGAAATAGCGGAAGACTTTAAACAATTGGGCTCTTACAAAGTGATGGGTGATTTCCAGCTTCCTCGTTTTTGTTGTCTGAGTTGAAAAGATTAACCTTAAAGAATTTTTTATATGTTAACATTTATTTGCAGTTTGCGAAGCGAAGACAAATACGTGTCATCTTTCCTTAGCAAACTGTCGTATTGGATCGCTCTTTTGAATATCTTACTTATCATATGCTTATCACATGAATATTTGTTTCGTTATTGGCTTTAGGCATATCCGACGGCTACGTCTGTACACGAACAAACTCGATTAAGTGGAAAAGGACTGAAAACAGAAGAAATTAGTCAGTGTTCTGTTTTCAATATCATGAGCAGAATCAGGATTTTCCCTTGTAACTTCCTGTTTCACTGCAAATTAGAGTGTTTACAAGAAGCTGTCTGCTACCTCAGCCAATTGAAAACGAGCTTTCATTTAATCCCAAGCACGCCATCTGCGGCTATTCCTATCGTAATTAAAGTTGTCTTTTGTTTTCTCACAGCAAGGTGTCACCGACGTCACGAGATCCATTTTCGGCTCTTCGCATCGAATCTTATAATTTACGTGATGTTCAAACTATTAGATGAAATTGTAGTGGATAAAACTACCACACACTATATGCTCATTTCCCCTCGTCATAACACTCGGATCGTCTGCATTGAACAACAAAAGAAGACTTTGCTTTTGGACGTGCACTTTAAAAATTGATGGCGCAACTCTCATCCATCTCGAACGCTTCCATCAACACCTCGATTGTACAACCTACAGTTGCAAAGGCAACAGATCAAGATATCTTGGCTCTTGAGTTGAAATCGAGACCTGTCTTGTTGGTAGTTTTGGAGTCATTCGTTCTCCTTTTGATCGATTTCGTGGCGTTTTTTGGGAATTCAATGGTTTGCCTCGCCTTTTACAAAAACTCAAGACTGAGGATCATTCCAAATTACTTCATCATCTCCCTGGCGCTAACGGATCTGCTAACTTCAGTCTTTTCGTTGCCGTTTTCGGCAGGAGCACTAATTCTCAGCAGGTGGCCCTTCGGTGACTGGGCATGTCAACTGCAAGGCTACTTCGTATTCGCTTTCAGCATCGCTTCTTTACACACAATGGCGCTAACTGCTTGCAACAGATACACCCGAGTGGTTCATTCAAATCTATACCCAAACCTTTATACTTCCAAACTGACCATGACCTCTGTTTTTTTCGTCTGGGCATGGGCTCTCATCTGCAGCGCTCTTCCTTTCATCCTTGGCCTTTCGACGTTTAATTTTCACCCTGGTACCGTGATCTGTTACTCCACCCCGTCATTTACGCCGGAATTTATTGCCCTCTTCACCAGCACGCTAATTATTAACATACCTGTGCCTATGGCAGTTGTTATTATCCTCTACCATAAAGTATTTCGCGCCATAAGTCGTCAGCGTCTTAGGGTCTCAACTGAGAGAGGACTGAGGATCAGCAGTAGTGTCGAGGACATAAGACTTGCTCAGTTGTTGTTCGCGGTAACCTTAGGGTTCTGTATTTGCTGGGGTCCTGTAATGGTCGTGGAGTGTATTAGATTCATAGATTTGTGGACAGTACCGCGCCAAGTGTACCTTGTAAGCACGTACTTTGGAGCAACCAGCAGTGCTATAAATGTTTTTATCTATGGAGTTATGAACAGAGCATTTCGTGTAGAGTTTGTCAAGATCTTGTGTTGTAAGAAAAAATTTTGAGCGTGGCGCAGACAAGACAGTAATTATTTAAGGAAAACAACGAAGACGACCGTTACGTAACGAAAATGCTGCGCGAGAAAAAATTTTACACAGTAGCAGAATAATAACTCTAAAAAATTAATACGATATAAAAACTTTGTTTAGTTTTCAACAATCCTACAACAAAAAACAGAAGAAAAAAAAGAAAGAAAGAAAAAGAAAAGAAAGAACGAGAACTTGAAGTCTTAAAATTGAACGTGGTCGGAGAACAGGAATCATAACAGCAACTTATTTAAGTTTCATCTCTGAGCTCAGCGGTGCATTTACATGAATACTAATGAAAGATTTGGTGACGTAGCGATACGGTAAAATAGGTGTATAAGTAATGGGTGAGTGGGTGGGCGAGTTTAGAATTAGCTAAGAGGCTTAGAGAGTGGGATGGTCTCCCTTTGTTAAGTAATCACAAACCAAGAAAGATAAATATAATACTGCGAATAAAAGCAAAAATCAACCAAAACTCGGTTAAAAAACGCCCCCTCGATGATTCACCTTGAATACATCTACGATGGCATCATGCGTTTAAAACCATTTTGGAAAGACTTATCCACCATATTTTTTCCACCCACTATGCAATAATGTTTAATGTTATGCGGTGAATGTTGTTTCATTCCTCTCCTTTACTGAATCAAACTGCAGCTGAAATAAGCTTCGTGACGTAGAAATGAATGACAGTGACGCATCGAAACCTGTTTAGACTTGTTTAGGCAGTTATCTTTTAAATCGGTACTTTTACTCCCTGCGGTATCAACGAACGCTTTTCATTCAACTTACTTATCTTTGCGTGCGTTTTCCACGTTACCATGTTCCCAACAAAAGTGTATGTAGATCCACCTGTCTGGATGTAACCACACCAAACTCACAATAGTCCATTTTACAGTCGCGTGCTTGGTTGTTAAGCCTTCTGACAAGAGTGAGGCTAAGGGTGACCTTGTTATGATACAAACCTTACTGCTTTTCAAATGTAAATTACTTTGTTATTATGCCATTTGGTACTCGTCTCTATCACAACAAGGTCGCCTTCAGCCTCACTTCAAATCAAAGGCTTGGCAAATAAGTACACAACTGTAAAACAGCCTATTCATTTAATCGCTCTGACGAAGAGCTAACACTCGAAACGTAAGCTTTAGTAAACTTTTGCAGTGGCCTTTCAACTCAGTTGATAAAAACAAATTATAATCTTAAAAAAACAGCCAGCTTTGACGAGGCTCAAATCATTGAAAATACTTAGAAAAAACGTCAGTTCAATTTTTTCTCAATCATTCATTAATGTATGAATCGCAAAATGTCAAGACTTGAGTAGTAATTAAGTTACCTCGCTTGTCTCACGATGTACTCACTTCCAACGTGGATCGCGACGTTTCGTCTGCATACAGCTGGTCTTCGTCAGGTGACGAGGACGGCAGGTTTCCCATCAACCTAAAAATTTATCCTCCACTGTAATTAGACGATTTTCACCCTTTTTAGAAGATTAGATGCTGATTATCTTGTGAGACAAAAGGTGATTATCAACTATTCACTGAAATGGAGGTGCTCGTGGTTAGTGGTCGATTTCAATTAAGCGCGAACAAGCGAAGTTAATATCTAACGCCAGCCTCCGACACTTAGGTGAATAGTTGTTTTAGCATATATATACTAAAACATGTGTACAGTCAGATAATATAGCACAAAAAATAATTACAATTCATATATTCCCGCAACTATTACAATATTTTGTGAATAGCAAAGATATTCGGAGTTTGTGTAGCCAATTAGAGCGCGTCTTCAACGCTACCCTCTGTTTTAGTATACATTAATACCTAACTAGTAGTGAATCTCCATCATGAGTATCACAACCTCTCGAACGTTATTGGTCGGGAATCGGAGCCCAAAAGAATAACGTCGATTTCAGGACTTAGGCGTTGTTCTAGTGAGTTAACACGCATCAGAAACCATTTTATCTTTCTAGCAAAGTACATCATGAAACGCGTTGAAAATCAACCAATAACTCGAAGCATGATGTGTAACACATGACAACTTGACCGCCTCGTCAGACAAGCAAGAACGTTCAATTCATCACCAGCATATTTTAAGCAATGAGTCGCCACAACCTTTCAAAGATCTCTAGACTGAAATTGCCATCTCCACGCCGGAAAGAAATAACATTCAAAAACGTGATAAATTAACAATGGCCACACTTGATTAAAAGAGGTTTTGTTGAATATTTCATTTGAATATGATTCAAGAAAAAGTCTAAGATTAGTAATTAGTAAGCATACAAAATGACTTGTTGCAGCGACTAGATCACCCCGATGAAGGCACTAGATAGGAGTGTCGAAACGTTGAGTCTATGAATTGTAACTTCTTGGTTACATTCCCAAAATCTTTAAACCAGAGTAGCATCAAAGCATGCTAGTCCAACGTCAATATTATTCAATTCATAAAGGATGAATCAGTATTATCGGGGTATAATTATCTCAGATCTCTTAACGAACCAGCATAAAATGAGTTTTAACCTTCTCCTGGCCCTAATTTCAAACGTTTATTGCCGTTGATCGAAGAAATATAATTCATCGTTGTCAAACACCGCTCGAATTATTCAGGTAAATGCAAGACTTACCTTGTTCATGAGTAAAGCATGGGAAAAAATTACTGTACATGGTTTAAGCTTTCTGTGCCACTTCAAAATTTGAACAATTTTTGAGAGACAACAAATTATTGATTTATATTTGTCGTCCTGGTCTTCCGTTTCTGAATATAAACATATATACAAACGACTGCAATAGAGCATCGCATTTTCAAAAATCAAATACATTGAAAGCAAAAGATATCTAGAGATGAAACTTACGAGAGATTCATGTTTCCTAATTGAAGTGCAAAATTTTTATGCGCTTTATAAAATTGATCTCATTTCAAAGAAGAAAGGTATCATATCAAGAGAGAATTAAAATTTACTTCAGGAAAGTTAATAAGAAATCCAAATAATCCTATTCTTTTAAGTTTACTGGTAACTTTTTTTTTAATTACACACTCTTGGGTGCGGCCACTTGATTTTCTCAAGAATTTATTGTCTGTGTCCGCTGCTTACTTGCTGTGTATTTATACGTGATCGAGGTCACTGGACATGGTCCAAGTTTTTGAACGTGCGTTGTAACCATGATGTACAGAGACGAAGTCGTGGTCCATAAATGGGTAAGACAAGGAACAAAAAAAAAATGAAAAGAAAAAATAAATGCAATGAAGAGGAAATTGAAATATCATAAGGCATGCTTCGTCCTTTCATTTACAATAAGTTTATGGCCAAGAACAACGCACCTAAGAGTTGCCAAATAAAATTACGGGGATCAAGTTGTATTTCTTACTTTTGGCTGTCTAGAGGAGACGACATTTACATTGATTTTGGGAAAAGAAAAACGGTGATCTTGTATTGGTAATGACGCAGAGAAAGATGCTTATTTCGTCTTGCGTGAGACATGAAAAAATGGGACTTTCCTTTGAATTTCGAATTTAATGGCTTACCAAAGGGACACAGAGACCACTCGGGGAGCTAGGCTAGAATGGAAAACATCGTCGAAAAGACATTTTTTTCTTTTATTTTTATGTAAGGATCTGAAGATTAACAATGGATCGCCGAGGGAGTCTTGCTACCTGCATGCTATGTATGGTGTCTCTAATGTCTCAAGACACATCCGGCTGGCAGTGTGGAGCCGATGTCTACTCCAACTATCAAATGATGCTTAGAGCCCACACCTTCAAGACGATCAAGGCTCGTCCAGGCACGTCTGACTGCAGACAAGCCTGCAACGCTGATACCAGATGTCAAAGTTACAACATGGTCATGTTCAGAGGCATATGTGAATTGAATAATAGGACCAAAGACGCCAGGCCAGATGATTTCATAAAGAACAAGGACAGATATTACATTACAAAGGTTTACTATAGAGGTAAAGACACCTAAATCGAAAGAACCTTAGCCCTAGTGGTGTAAAGGGCGCATACCACTACCCCACGGATAAATCGCTCTCCTTCGGATGAGTATTAGCAAAACGTATAGCGTTATCCACTGGATAGAGTTTTATCAAGTGGATAGCGCTGACTAACCTTCGAACAACCGGGGCCTAATGTTTCTTGGCTAGAGTAGTATTAGTCTCAGTTGAAGCCAATATTAGTAATGTTTATGAACTCACAGCGCATGGTGAAGATATCGTGTTTTCGTTAAAAGAGAAATTTTGGCATTTCATCGAGATCTATGTGCTAAATTAGTGTGTTTTTCAAGAGCACTAGAAAGTTCAAACGGGCATAAAATGATAAGAACATAGAAAAAAAAACCAGACAAAGAAACACGAAGAATGCTGAACAGTGATCTTTTGGCAGTATTCGATTTGAAAGCATTAAAATTTGCCTTTTTGTACTCATCATTGGTCGGCTTAAAATGTTTGTCACCAGTTCCTCTCGGTTCCATTCCTGAGCTGCCTGCTGATTCGTGTGAAGAGATTCTAGCAAGTGAAGGAGAGAAAGCTGTCAGCGGTAGTTACTGGTTGGATTTTAACAGATCTGGAAACTCCTTGTTGACCCACTGTAACATGGGAATGAGAGGTAAGCAAAACCGCGTCTTTCTATCACACTCAGAGTGATGAAACTTATCAAACGTTACCCCTGGGTTCAAACCGGCTACTAATTGTAAATGGTACCTTTTTCTAATCTATTCATGAGCTCGGAATGAGTGGATAGTTTGGAACCAAGAATTCTCTTTATCCTATGGTAACAACTACACAGAAGAGACTTTTAAGTTAGTAACGCCCTTTTATCATCTATAGATATCGACGAATGCGAAGATAACCTCCATGACTGTCATAGCCACGCAACTTGCAAAAAAACAAATGGTTCCTACTTCTGTGCTTGTAAACCAGGATTTGGGGGAGATGGAAAAAACGAATGTGAAGGTTAGAAACAAAACTCGTTTGAAAACGCAAAATCAATTTGGAAAAAAATCAAATTTATATTTGTATTTTCTTGTTTAATTTGTTACTCAGATATTGATGAATGCACCGAAGGATCTCACGGTTGCCATAGTAACGGGACATGTGGAAATACTGTAGGTTCGTATAACTGCAAATGTAAGACTGGATTCTCCGGTGACGGTTTTAGCTGCGAACCGACAGGCAAGTTATAGTTAATTAATTTTTACAAAATGAGTTTTCATCAATTTAAAATTACATATTTGGTAATTGGGTGCTAATGAACTTGTGAAGAATCGATCTACTTTATACATTTTTTAAATTATCCATCTGCTTAATTTTTTTGTCACATTAGAATGTGTGGAATATCACGAATTGAACGATGCTCGCAGGAAAGTAACTTACGCAGCTGTTCGACCATACAAGTGCGACGATTCAATCATTCCAGGCTGGTATCGTATGGTAGAACCTGCTGGTAAACGGATTCCGACGACATGCCCGGGTAATACGATGTGTGGTACAGCTCGACCTGGATGGATGAATGGTGTCCATCCTGCTGTGGAAGATGGTGTTGTTAGCAGAAAGGTTTGTTTCTCAACCAGGAATTCCTGCTGCTATAAATCTCTTTGGATTAAAGTGAGAAGCTGCGGTACTTTCTATGTGTATTACTTGCGGGGCATACCAAATGTCTGTCCCGAATCGTACTGTGCAACTGACTGAGTCTTGTCTGGGACCCCTGCAGGAACCATCTATCCCGACTAAGTCGGGTCAGGGTTCCCTGTGGTAACAGTCTGTTCTAAGAATTGCCGCGGAATTACGTTATTCGTGTCAACAACCCCTTGTTCTGGAATTGCTAACGATGCTATCTATCCCAGGATAGTGTAGTCCTGTGGCGCCCATTTGTCCCGAAACTTACTGTAGAGCTGATTTATTCGTGTCTGGGATCTTTGAGGCTTTATTACTTTTCTTCAGAGAGTTTCAATTTTTCCCTGGTCAGAGTTAAGAGTAATACTGAGTTGGGACATTGAAGGAGTCAAATCGTGTAATATGTGAAAAAAGAACTGTTTTCGTAAATTTCCTTTAATTATACTTACAAAAGGAAAAGATTATTTTTTTCCGATCGCTTAATCTGTCTCAGTATACGTAGACTGAACATGTTCTCTTGCCAGCCAATACAATAAGTACACTTTACTTTTTTCAATGGCACTCGCCTGTAAATATTTTCTAGATCATATTTCTAAAAAGGTCTGTATTTGTTCTCTATTTAAGTTGGAATAAGTTAATATCTTAGAGAAATATGATTATTTGTCTTACCAAGAATTTTGGACAAAGAAATTACTCGAGCCTTTAAGGATAACCGACGAAAGTTCGCGTTATATATCGTCGGTTTAGAACAAATCAAAGGAAATACAAAAAACAATGGTGTATCCACAACAAATGCCTTTGTATCATTTTAATCCAATTATGATCATCAATAAATTTCATGAGTGTATAATACATTTAGACTGTTGGTTTATTATCTCTAAATCAAACGTGAATAAATCAGTCGCTCTGTTGAGTGCCATTTAGATTACAACGATGAAGAATTAATGATTTCAAAATTGATATAATAAATTGAGTAATTTTTGGCTGATTGAGTCTCAGCTATACGATCTATTTAATAGTCACATATTTCTTACCATGAGCGGGATCATTTTAAGATCTCCATAAGTTGTCCTGGTCGGGAAGTGGAGTTCAGTTTGTTTTCCCACTCAACGGTGACAAACAATGTTACTGAAAATCTCCTCATTGATAAATGCGTTTTATCTGCGTTTTATCTGTAAAAAGCTTTTATCTCACCAAATTATCTATCACAGGCTTTGCACATGCATTCAAGTAATTATATAGATTCTATTTATAATAGGTCCACAGTAGAATTTGCTGCCATTTATGCCGGTCTAACTTGCTTGACCAAAAAAATGATGGTTATAAAAAAGTAAGAATAGTGATAATAATGACAATTATAATGAAAAGAAAAATAGATGAAACGGTAATGTTGATAATAAGGTTGATTATAATAATGGTGACAATGACAATAATAGTAATAATAATAATAATAATAATAATAATAACAATAATAATAACAGTATTATTAAGATAATTATGAAATTACCAGTCTTTGGGTTTAAAGTCTTTCAGAAATACAGCAAAGTATGGCGAATTCTTGGGGTTCAGCCCATGAACAATCGGATGGTAAACCCTTGCGGCGCCATCCTGGCAATCGAGGGGAGGCACAAACCCTTTCACCTCTGCTTCAAGCCGGGCTTGGTGAAACGGACGTTCGTCAGTGACCCAGCCAGTGTCCACAGCTGTCATGTAGATTCCGTCCATCTGGAACTCCAGTCCACTGGTACGAGTCATCATGTTCAAGGCTGCCTTGGCCATGTTGGTATGTGGGTGACGGTGACCTTTGTTGATTCGTGAGAATTGCCCCTCCATGGCAGATACGTTCACGACGAATTTTCGCTGAAAAAGACTTTGTTTCAAGAGTGGTTTTAGTTTAGCTGTCAGGATGAACGGGCCTACAGCATTGATGGTTAAAACTTGCAGAAGCTCTTCTAGAGGCACTTCATCCAAATTATACGTCCAGCTGTTTCTCGGTCGAGTGTCTAGTGGCTCACCATGTTGGTCTCTCTCTTCTGGTGGAAAATCGATTGTGTTCGTTTTCCAAGGAAGTGCCTGGTATCGATTTGGAGTTGAAATCATGGAATGTAACTGTTCAAGAGCCTGGATTTGATTCACGACTACATTGTTCCCATCTTTGGCCAAGTTTGGTAGTTTCTTTACCTCCTCCGAGATGAGAGACTGGTAGTAAGGAAACGGTCGAAAGATTGTTTGTGCGGCGTTGTTGACTAAGATGTCGAGGTGAGGAATGCTCTGTTGAACATAGCCAAGGAAACCTTCGATTGATTGCATGTTCTGGAGATCAAGACGTGCAATTTTTAGCCTGTGCTTCCAAACGTTGAAATCTGCCTGTCCGCTGAACCGTTCCACAGCGTTGGCCGGAAATCTAGTGGTGACAATGACGAAACAATCGTCTCTCAACAAGCGGAGAGCTGTCTCAAAGCCGATCTTGATTCGACCTCCGGTGACTATAGCGTACCTCCCCTTTAAATCACACGAGGATTTCTTCATCTCGCCATTTAGAAAGTGGCAATCAACGCAGAGTTGATCAAATACCGAACTTAGATTGCACATGTAACATTTCTTTTTAGACCCCTTGTTATCTGGTTTTCCTACCATTTTTTTTAAGGCTTTAAACACTTTTTTACCGGGTCGACGTTGATCGGCGTATGGCCTATTTACCAATTCAGCAGCAGAATCCGAAGGAACAATCTCGACTGACCGCTTTCTCTTAAGAGAATTGTGCAAGTGGACTTTTCCATTCAGAATTCCGGGATGGGCATCCATTAGACGATAAACATCAAGAAGACTTTTTCCAAAATTTAGAACGTCGATGCTTATTTTCAAAGCATCCATGACAGGTGTTGTATGATCTTGTGTGGTCAACTTCAAGATTGCGTGATTTCTTAAGCCGCGAGACAATTCATTATTTTCTGCCAATAATTTGACTAAACGTTCCTTGATTTCGAGAAATTTTCCCTCGCTGCAGTTTATCCAAACATAGGAAACTTTTGACCGTTTAATTTGGTGGTAGAATGCTGTTAATTTGCTCAAAATGTCTTCTGGTTTGATATTTCGACAATCTAAAATGTATCTGTCGCTATCGCTGAACTTTTCTTCAGAGTTCATTTCCTCTACTTCCTCGGTTTGTACTTCAATCAGCTTATAACGATATCCTTCGTGTGTAAGATCCATTTCCTGAGATTTTTTTATGGCAAGTTCTCGTCTGAAAGCTTGTACGACGTTGAAGCCAGAAGCACTTTTATAAGAAAAGATGCAGGACTTACAAACACCAGGTACGTATTGCTACGTTCTTGTAATGATTGCATCATCAGAGCAGAACAATGACGTCACGTTATTTAGGTTTTACTTCACGCTGTCCTACACCAAGACAAATAATTTAAAAAAATAAACCCTCAGCAGAATGTAGGTCTCCATTTTACAAACAGAGCTGTTTTTAATCTCTCAAATTTAATTTTTCCTCAAAGCTTTATGCAGTTTGGTAAAACAACTGCACTGCTATTTTGATTTCGATAGTGTGACATCGGAAAACCTCCGTTTATTTTTGTACTTGGATTTTTCCCCTGTGGGGGTTTCCCCAGATATAAAATTTCGCTTATCGATAAATTTAGAATTTAGATTTTTTTCACTTGAAACATATAACGTGAATTAATGATGGCTCGTTCTGAAGAAAAGACACATTGCAACTAAAAACGCCGCAAAAAGAGAAAAAAATTAACGCCGCAAATACCAGTAAAGGTCATACCATCATGTTGCAAGTAAGTTAGTCAGTATTTCGTGATTTTTGAAGCGATCGGTGGCTCGAAGTGGAAGCGAAAATTTACGAGTTTTAACGTCGTTTCTGGAATGAATTATCCACAGCATTTATTCGAATGTAGAATTTTGGGAAACAATAAACAAATTCTCTGTGAAATGCGACACCCACGGTCCTTCTACGGATGCCCACTTTGAAACTGACGGATAAACTCCTTGCGACGAGGTTTGCTGAACGTACCGAAAACGTTCCAGACTGTGAATATTCAACGACGTTTGCTGAACGTAGCTAAAACGTTTGAGACCGTAAACATTCGACGAGGTTTGCTGAACGTAGTGAAAACGTTTGAGACTGTGAACATTCGACGAGATTTGCTGAACGCAGCAAAAACGTTTGAAATTGTGAAGATTCGACCAGGTTGGCTGAACGTAGCGATAGAATGTTTGAGATTGTGATCATTGAACCAAGAGAGAATAATTGTTCCATTTTTTCCTCATGAGGCGACATCATAAACCCCATGCAGAACCCATTTTGTTTATTTGAAGAGTACAATTTTTTATTCGGAGCATTTGTTTTTTATTTGTAGAGATTTTTTATTATTGTTTTCAGGGAGTCCCTTGTGGGACAGCGCAAAATTTATTTATTTAAGGGGGAAAGTTTTTAGTGAAAGCTTAATATAAATTAAATCTCTATCTAATCCATGTAAATTTTTTGTAAAATGTTCCGTTTATTTTAATTCTTTCCAAATAAAAATCTTTTTTAGATATTTCATTTCAAATTCATGATATTGTTGGAAGATTCTAGGCGAATACTTGGAAAATCGTTAATTTGTCGGAAATAACACAAAAAAATGTCTCGTCGAAAAGAGGGCCAGTCACGCTGTACCATAATATAAAACAAGTCCTTTTTTAAAAATTCTTCCCTCGAACAGTAAATTCGTGACATTGGAAAAAATCATAAGACATAAAAACATCGATCAATAAAAATGAAGACGATGTTGGTAAGAAAAATGTATGTCATAAATATTTCATTATGTTTATGCAAGACAGAATATTAAAAAAAAAATGAGTTACTCTATCCGAATTGTATCAAATTTTTTTATGTGGAAAAGCTCTAAGGTATACAATTTATTCAGAGCATCAGAGGAACGCTATAAACCTTCAAAACTTCGAAAAAACCTCAACTAGTTTGATCATGATATGACTTGGACCGGAAAATTTACAAGACTGCAAGAGGTTGCGAAATATTCCTCGAGGATTGTGGGGCGGGAAAGCTCAGACGGAATTTCTTGTTTTAAGGGTTATTATTTTATTATTTTTTGAGGGAACAGAATGAAGAGCATTTCAGGGAGTGGAGGGTTAGGACTATTGAAAATTATACCTGCCTGATCACGTCAGCCTTGTAATCAAATGTTTTGATGTCTAGTGCGTACACACGAATTGACACGATATTCTAAGAAACCTCTCGAAGTCACTCCTCTGAATAACTGGTATATTTAATTTTATTTGATAAATAATATCACTTTTGCGATAATTACAATGAGTAAGGTTTTGACATCAGCTATTCGGCGAAATGCTTTGATGTTGAGTGCGAATGAATGAGGTAGCTTCATTTTCTGACTAACCTCTCTAAGCTCTTCCTGTTTTTAGTGGAAGATATTATTCAACTGCGGCGTTTTTTGACGCCAGCCAGTCACGAAATGTTTCAATGTTGATTGCCAATATAACTGGTTCCGTATATTTAGAAACCTCGCGCCCAACCGCTCGGCTTTTAATAACGGTACAGGCTTTTCTAAAGCTGTGGCATCGTTTTTTAGCATGAGTGACTAACAGCAGATGTAAAAACTGGATAACTCGTTTCACGAAGATTCGAAAAGATATAAACTTTTGGACGCCAAAATGTCCTCATAACGTTACGGGACAATGATTATATTTTGATGGCGTGACACAAGCGTAGAGAACGTGCGTGACAATGAAAATCAGACCACAATTGCAACCAATCAACGCTCAGGATTCTGAGACCGTGGGGTTCATTAGCTATTGACTCCTCTCGCACTCTTCACATCGCATCTCAAGATTGACTTCGCTCCAAGAGTAAGTACAAACTTGTATATAGTGCATTGTTTCTCATCAAGGCTTCCGTAATTGCTCCTAATGTAACTTTGATGATTTTTTGAAGTACTTATATCAGTGCACCAATTTGTATCGAATCGAAATTAATCATTCGTTATGACATAGAACTTGTATAACGGATGCAACATAAGGTTTTGAGAAATATTTAGGGTCCCAGTGAATAATGAAAACATTGTGATGCGAAGCAGAAATTGCCCTATTTATGAAGCAAAAGTTGGTAAATGGTCGACCGGTCAAACATTTAATGGGGATGTAAAGTAGTCTTAGATGCAATATAAGGGGACAAAAAATTATACTAAATAAAAACCACGATTTTTTATGAAATCACTTCTAAGTGATTTCGCGGAGTTTTTTAATTATTTGTAGATCAAAAGTCATGATGTCTGAACTATTTGAATAAAGTGGATGGCCTCTTAAATTATTGTTTTAGATTTAAATCTCTATATATTTATTTATGGTTTAAAGTTCATAGATACTTGAAATGTTATTAATATTGTGTGTTTAACAGAGAGACAGAGAGATAGTGATGTCTGGCGACACCGGGGTAACTTTATTAGGCAATTATAAACATCTTAATTTTAGTAAATATATAATATTAACCTAAAACATTGTACCACTGGCAATTAAATTAAATAGGAATGGATTCTTTTAAAATGATTAAGTATTTTCTTTTTACGTTCGCTGGTCTTTTCGTTTTTTCCTCTTTGATTGTGTTTTATTTTCGATTTTTTATCTTTTTTGTTTTGTTGTCAATATTTTATCTATTATTAGTGTTATCATTAGAATTATTATCATAATTATTGTTATCATTATAATCATTACTATTATAGATATCTCATTAGTACCAACACAGCTAGTACTTTATTGTTATTACTATTGTTATTATTGCTATTATTGTTATCATTTTGTATCGGTAGCGAACTTGCAAGGTTTTATTCTTTCTTTTATTATCTTGTCCTACTTGAAAGTTCAAGCGTGTATTTGTTAGTTTTTCTTAGATTTTTATTAGACATTTTAATGCATTTTTCGATTTTTTTAAAAGGATTTTATCATAATATTTGTAAATATTTTTAGTGATTAGAGTGGATAAAAGACTATTATTATTATAATTGTTATTATTATTATAAGCATTATTATTATTATTATTATTAATTTTCTGTCTGACGAACCAAGCTGTGCAGCAGTTGAAACATGCGTTGGGCATTCATTTATCGATTGAATTCCCCTTCTAGCCACTATTACCACACATTTTCAGTTATTATTTACAGAAAATTGAGTTTTTTTCTTCACTATTTTGTTTGCATGTTCTCATTTCGTCTTTGGTAGACAACGTGTTGATGCAAGTTGTCAACGTTAGTTAGTGTTAACCATCCGTATGCAAAAGTGCCTGGAGGCTTATGGTGTTTAGCAGAGTAATTGAGGACAAAGTAAAAATGTTTCAAAATCTTGATTTTTTTACATCAACTGCTTAAAGAAATGCGCCGCTGTTTCATGAAAATGAACTCAATGCGACTTAGCAAAATGTCTTTAGTCGTGCAACTAGCAAATTCTTAAACCGCAAAGCTGACGAGCTGTTTAGATGTTATCAGTCCTAATCTCTTTAAATTGATTTATGGGCCACATTGAAGTCCCCATGGTCGTGTTTTCAATTGCGAGCAAAGGCGGGGCTTAGAAGACCCCTTATCTCTCTTATTTAATGATTCAGTTTCTTTGCTAAACAGTTGGCAATGACCGTTGTTTGCAAGAAATTTTTAAGATTGTAAGCCTTAGATGGCTGGCTCAGAGTAAACATGTCAGTGTGGGCTTTTGGTATCTGCCTCTAGCTACTTTGCTCTGAGAGTGATAGCTGTCTTTTAGGATTAAGTGCGATTGTTATTCATGAATCACTTTATATACATGCCGCCTGCCCGAGCCTTCATGGCTGAGTAGTTAATCGGCTGATCTGGAGCGCAGCGCAACTCTCGCTTTTCTGCTTCGTTGCAACAGGAGGTGTCGTTCGCTTTCCTAGTTTTTAGGCTCTTTGTTTTCATTACCTCTCACAGAGAATAAGGCCTCATCAAGCAAGTAGATGATTCAGCCATGAAGGGATTCATATTGTTTGCGTTTCTTGCCCACATGTGCTTCGCACAAGGTTGGTTGAATAACTTTGTAAACAACAACAACTTGCTGCCTAGAATATCACGATGTATTTTGCTAGGTATCTTACGATGCCAAGCGAATGATTTCTTCCTTTTCTAGATAACTATAATGACATTTTTTTTTCACGCAGGAAGCCATTAAGGGTGCTTGCAATAAAGGAAAGCTAAATGCTAATCCGTCATGCTTCAGTGCG